TGTGGGGTAAGTATATGGCAGAGGGGGACAGTGCACATACAGAGGTAAGAGCACAGCTCTGCGGTGTTGATTCTATCCTTCAACCTTTATGTGGGTTCGGTTATCAAACCCAGGCTTGCAGCAGCAGCAGCAGCAACAGCAAGCACCTTTATCCACAGAACCATCTAGGTGCCCTGCCCTGGACTTCTAACCACATTATTCCATGAGAACACAATAAGCTTCTTTCTTAGCCAACTATATGTTGGTTCTTTCTTTCAGTGTGAACTTATAACCTAATAAAAGTAATGAATTAGCCATTGCCACAGTAACTTGGTGGAACAAACCATTCTGGACTGTAGGGGTTAGAATGAGAATCCTTTCTGGTTTCCAGCTGGCTATGTTAGTGACACCATAATACTGGCTGCTTTCCAACTCCCTGCAGCCCAGTTCCACCCAGTTGACTCTGTAACAGACTGGAGAAGCAGCAGGTACCCAAGAAAGGCTCTCCTGTGAAAACAGAGACCAGCGCAGCATCAAGAAGCCTCTGCAAACACATGCTCACTTTGTTTATCTTGCCACAGGCCAATGCAAGTCAGTGGAGGAAGCCCAATGCCAACAAACAGGAAAGGACAATTCAGCCACAATGAAACTGGATGCTGGGAAGTGCTGGAACTCCCTCAGCTTGCGAAGAGCCCTGGTTTGGAAACTGTATAACCTGGGCTCATTCCTCTAGTGCTCACCATCATGACAGGAAGTGCCTGGTGGACTGAGTTCTCTATGGGGTCAGAATCCCTGACAGGGCAAGAACCGTATTTCTTTCCTCTTTAGCCCCTTTCCTTCCCCCAGTGCTTAGCGCCAAGTTCTGCCTAGAGAATGACTCGGGAATATTCCTGAATGCATTTCATTCTGTCCCTTCAGCTTCCCCGTGTGACTCATGTGACTCATGAAATACAGACCAGTTTGTTAAAGGTTATTACATTCCGGTCAATATTTCCCCAATAAACTGTAAAGAGACTGTGCCCTTTAGAGCCGAGGTCTGTGCCCAGAGGTTTCTGACACCAAATCCTCAATCTACTGCTACCAGGCTCAGGCCACATGGGTATAAAGGTTACCCTGGGACACTGACTCACGACAGTTATTCCATAGTCCCTACAAAGGGTTATTCGATGTTGAGCTATTTCAGGGTTAGGCTGATAAAGGGAAGAGATGGTGTGTGTGTCATGGGGTGTCTTGATTAAAATGATTATAATATATATTATATAATATGCAATATGTGTGTGTGTATGATTTTAGATCTCGTTATAAAAACTGATGGCCCTGACCTCCAGGACATTGGTAGTAGATTTTTTAAATGAGAAACTAGAGAAACCTACTTCTAAGTAATGTCAGGGTTGAGAAGTAAGGCTAGACCTGTAGAGCCTGTATCAGATAAGACCGAGCAGCACAGGTCGTTTGTTTGGCTTTTGTTTGTTTTGGTTTGTTTAGATAGGGATTCTTTGTATCACCCAGGCTTTCCTGGAACTTACTCTGTAGACCAGGCTGGTCTTGGGACTCACAGAGACCCTCCAGCCTCTGCCTCCTGAGTGCTGGGATCAAAGGCGTGCCCTGCCACTACCCAGGTCAAAGTAATAGTTTATGTGTCTTTAATTTGTAGTTTTCCTTCTGAGTCATCACCTGTGCCCCCAAACATTCAGACCCAGTCAGTCTACAGTTGTGGAGGGGGTTCACTCCTGCTGAGAGAATTATTGACCTGGTAATCCCCAAATGAGATGAGCAGACATTGTGCCCTTGGCCTTTAGATGCTGAAACCCAGGGTGAGTTGAACCAAAGCTCAGGCCAGTAGAGCTTGGGATTGGAAATAGCATTTGGTGGACAAGCCTGGCCTAAATTCCATCCCCACATAAAGGTGGGAAGAGAGAGAATATAAAATCATCTACAGACCTACAGAGAGAGAGAGAGAGAGAGAGAGAGAGAGAGAGAGAGAGAGAGAGAAAGTAAATTGGGGTAGATTATAAAAGAACTTTATAATCCAGCTACTCTGTGTACTCTTTTATTATGTTTTTAATTAAAGTAATTTTAAATCTAAATATACTTTGATCATATTCTTCCCTCCCCTAAATTGTTCCAGATCCTCTCCTCCCAACTTTAAGTTTTCTCAAAAAACAAACAAAAACCTTCCAAAACTACAGAGAAACCCTGTCTCGAAAAAAAGAAACAATATTACAATAATACCAAGAAAACAAAACAACACTCAAAAATAAAAATAAAACTGTAACCAAATAAAAGCAAACAAAAAAACTATGGAGTTCATTATATGTTGGTCAACTACTCCTGAACATGAGGCCTGCCCTGGAGTGCTTGATGTTCTCCGTTGGAGAAAACCCATTTTCCCTCTCCCAGCCGGTATAAATGACAGTTCAGTTGTTAACCTTAACCCCAGTGGCTAGGTTTTCATTCATTTTTTAAAATTATTTTTAGTTTATATGCATTGATGTTTTGCCTAGATGCATGTCTGTGTGAGGGTGTCAGATTCCTGGAACAGGAGTTACAGTTGTGAGCTGCCATATGGGTCCTCTGGAACAGCAGTCAGTGCTCTTAACTGAAGAGCCATCTCTCCAGTCCTTCATTCATGTTTTAAACACAACAAAATAAAATATAACAAGGTAAAACAGAAACTACCACATCAAAGGACAAATGAACCGAAGGAAAAGAATCCAAGAGAAGGCACAAGAACCAGAGACCCACTTGTTTGCACACTCAGAAATCCAATAAAAGCATAAACTGGAAGCCATAATATAAACATAGAGGTTCTGGTACAAACCCATGTTCACAATTCCTCAGGAAGGTGGGAATCTACCTCAAAACCCAGTTATACCAGTCTAGGGCATATCCCCAGCCCAAATAACGCTTTAGCCTACCACAAAGACACTTGTTCAACCGCGTTCCTTGCTTCTCTATTCAAAACAGCCAGAAACTAGAAACCATCTAGATATCCTTCAGAAGAAGAATGGATGAAGAAAATGTGGTACATTTACACAGTGGAGTACTACTCAGCCATTTTTTAAAAAATGACAACATAAAATTTATAGGCAAATAGATGGAGCTAAAAAAAATCATCCTGCATGAGGTATCCCAGATCCAGAAAGACAAATATGATATGTATTCAGTTACATGTGGATATTAGCTGTTACGTCGGTGATATTCAATCTACAATTCACATAACCACAGAGGGTAGGTATAGAGTAAGGGACTAGAGGGAGCAGACAGATCTTGTTAGGAAAGGGTTATGGGCAGATGGGAGAATGGAACAGAAGAATCAACTAGAAAGGGGAAAAGGAGAAGACATGGGGAGAGGCAACTAAAATAAGACGCATTTGAGGGGTAGTATGAAAACCTAGTACAGGATAAACTTCCATATATGAAGGCAACTTAAACAGAATCTCCAAATAACATTGGAGACAGAGTCCCACCTGGCTATCTCTTGTCACCAAATGTAACGTCAGTACAGGGAGTTGGTTATATCTCACTGAGTCGTTGGCCAAAGGGACCCATGGACATCCTCAAACAAACCAGGGTGTTGCCAAGACACTGTGTTGCTGTCCCCAAACCGACAGCAAGGTCCCATTGCTGCACAACGCCTACGCAACTCACTGAACCTGGAGACAGGGATCCGGTGCCTATATTGAGCCTTCGCCCCTGTGTTCGAGTGTCTTTCGTACAGGAAGGTACTTTGCACACTACCATATGTGAAACCAAACAGCAAGCCTACAACAAACCCCATCATCTACAATGATGCGCTGCTTGCAAGGTATGCTAGGGCAACGGCGGCCAAAGCTTGTGGGTGTAACCAACCAGTAACTAATTTGACTTTAACTTCAGATGGAACCCATACCCAACATGCTTGAGGTGACCAAGAACCAGAGACTAAATAGAGACCTAGGGTAAAACCAAATACTAGTCTTAAAAAAAATGTAGTGATAAAATAAATCCTAATGATACTTGCTATAATCAGATCGGTGCCTTGGTCAGCCATCATCAGAGAAACTTCCTCCTGCACCAGATGAGAGCAAATATGGAGACCCACAGCCAGAGAGTGAGAGGCCTTGAAACATTCCAGCCCCAAATGGGAAGCCTCCATCAAATCCCTCCCCCTTGGAGCTCAGGGAACCCCAAGGGAGAAACAGAAAGGGTATAAGAGGAGATGGAGGACACCAAGGCCTTCTTAATCAACATGAGCAAACTCATAGGAACTCACAGAGACTGAGGCATATTCACTATGGCATGTTCTTAAGGATTCTCTTTAACAGTCTCCACCTCTGTGGCCCGCACTTAGGTCCTGCATTCCCTTTGGGGCAAAGTCTGCAAGGGTATAGTTCCTACACCGCCTGCCCTGCCCTATCAGCCACGCTCCTGCTCTGACAGTTGTCTTCGGGAGTCCATTAAGAAAGATAAGTGTCACTTTCTGTAATGGAACAAAAGCAATTAAAATGTGAGAAGACGAAAAGCAGGTCCTCCAGGCTTCAAGCCTCAAGGGGCTGACCGCAAGCAAATTAAACTAACACAGGCAAGGGAGATCACGTGGTGTAAGACAAGCCAAAACAACTGTTTCCTGGCTCCGAAAAACCAGACTGTAAGGTCCCAGTTGGGTCCAGGATCTGCCCACTCCAGTACTAATTCCCTTGCGGAGGCACTGGGGTTAGTGGTGCCACAAGTGCGCATTTTCGGCTTAAAGAGACGAAACGACAGCCCCAAAATCGCACAGATGGGGTTGAAGATCAGGTCTGATGCGGATCTGCTGGAGGCAGGCGGCCCGGACGCTCCGAGTGGCTCAGTCTCTCTGGGCTGCCCAAAACCCAGGGTCCGGAGCCACAGGACCGCTCGCCTGCACCGACACCCTCGCCGAGCAAAGACAGGTAAAAGCTTTCGGCCCCGCCCCCTGGGCTTCTCTAGGCCTCATGATTGGCTTCGCGGGCCGGAGGCGGGGCCGGAGAAGCGAACCAACGTGATGGCGTCAGACGCCGCGCGCCGCTTCCTGTTGTCAGTGCCGCTGGAGCCGCGGCTTCTGCTGCAAGCTGCGGGGTCGCCGTCCCGGGAGCGACGCCTGCTGCTCGTGTTCCCTATGGTGAGTCTGGGTCTGGGCGTGAAGGGAAGCAAGGGGCGGCGGGCCGTGACGCGAACCGGCGGTGGGTCTGCAACCTCGCGGCCTCTCGCGACCTCTAGGTGCCTTGATCCTTGGGGTGGGAACCTCGGCCCTTCGCTGCCCGGGCCTGCTCCCACCGCAGCCAGCGGCCACCCTGTCCCTCCCCTCGGTCTCCACCGCAGCCGACCTCAGCCCCGAGCCGGGTGGGACCCCTTACCACCGATCTTGCGTAAGTGTCGCCTCCCTAGTAACCCCTCTTTAGCCCAGTTGCAATCCAGTCCCAGCCACATCCCTTCGTCACCTCTTAGTTCAACATCACTCTCCTCGCTCAGCTCGTCTGTACCTTCCCTCGCCCCTCCATTCTGGCTCAGATTTCTTGTCGCAGCCTCTCAAGGTCTACTCCGTCATCCCAGGCACCCTACGTCTGTCCCTCCAGTTGCCCCACCACTATAGTGGTCTCCTGTTGAACTGTCATCTCAGCTTTATCGCAAGTCTCGTGTGCTTCTTGTCTTTACAGGCTCTCACCCTAACTTCCTAGCGGACCATAGAGGTAATTTCTCTCTGGCCTTATCCCGAGGACACCGTTCTGCCTAAATCTTTTTTAACTGTCCCAACTCTGATGCCTCGGTTCCTGCCACCTTTCTCCAGTCCTTTTGTTATTTTAGACTTAATATATGCTTATTAATTCTTTGAGAATTTCATACATGCATGTAATGTACTTGGATCATGATACCCCTCCCCCTGCTCATTCCTGTTAATTTGACTTTTTTGATTTTTTTTTTTTTTTTTGAGATAGTGTCACTCTATTTAGCCTTCGCTGTCCTGGCCTCAAACTCACAGAAATCCACCCGCCTCTGCCTTCCGAGTGTTAGAATTAGAGGTGTGGGCCACTACTCCTGGACATAGTTTTGTTTTTTTCCTTTGGTTTTGCACAGTAGGGGATAGGTATGGGTGTTTGATGTTATGTTTTGAGACAAGGGTCCTTCTAACTAGCCAGAGCTAGCCTTGGACTTCTGGCCCTCCCTGCCTCCACCTCCCAAGTGCTGGGATGGTAGGCGTGAGCCACCACATCTGGCTTCCGGGAGTTAGTTACTATTAACTAAATTTAACCAACCTTTGTCGATTCCTTTCCTGATCCAGCACTCTCTCTCATGGGGGACTTGGGGCACAGCTCCCTACCTGTTCTTCATCTCCACGTCTGTTCCTTGCCCAGCGAGCAGCGAAGTAAACAGCCGAATTGGTGTCTGTAGGAACTCAGTTGGTAAAGGAGTATAGAGCTTACTCTCTCCACAGGGTTTCTCTGTAGCTTTGGAGCCCGACCTAGAACAGGCTGACCTTGAACTCACAGAGATGGCCCTGCCTCTGCCTCAGAGTGCTAGGATTAAAGGCGTGCACCACCACTGCCCAGCATTTCCCTCCATTCTTTTTTTTTTATTTATTAAAGATTTCTGTCTCTTCCCCGCCCTCACCTCCCATTTCCCTCCCCCTCCTCCAACCAAGTCCCCCTCCCTCGTCAGCCCAAAGAGCAATCAGGGTTCCCTGCCCTGTGGGAAGTCCAAGGACCACCCACCTCCATCCAGGTCTAGTAAGGTGAGCAGCCACGAAACTGCCTATGCTCCCATTCTTGAGTGTGAGGTTTTTCCTGGTGTCTGCTCTCCTCAACGGGTCTCCACAGATGGCTCTTCTGACATTCATATTAAATCATTTGTGCCTGCTATTGTAATGGTGGGTGCCCATCAAATACCTGGAAGATGAGAGACGGCCACTCACCCAGCTCGTTCATCCTGGGGCAGTGGAAACCAGCCCTGCTTTTTGGCTGGTGTTCAGTGGAGAGCCTCAGGGAGCACCGTGGAGTGGGGTGTGATCACAGAGCCCTGCCCATGTGTCCTAGCACTTGTGAGGACTAAGTCTCCCAGTGTTCCCTTCTGCATAGTTCCTTTCCCATTATTGAACCCAGGGACATGGCGGCCTTTAGAAGCATGTTGTAAGCCCTGAAGAGTACAGGCAAGTGGGTCCTGGGTAGGCTGAAGGACTAAGTGGATCACAGGGGCTGTAAAATCGCTTCTGTTTTTGTAGGTCCTGGATCATTTACTCTTTAGCCCCCGTGGCTTGTAGGAACACGTGAGGGTGAGTTACCTGTCAGGAGTTGAGATAGATGGATGCCTTTAAGGTCCTGGATGTGCTCAGCATTTATAGGCCCCCGGCGACTTTTTGGTATATATTTTCTCCAGGTTTGGCTGGGCTTGCTTCAGGAGGGTCAGCTATCTATGACTGCAGATCCTCCCCTGCCCCAACCCCCATCCTCAGTACTGGGGATTGAATCCAGGATTTTGTACACACCCTTCCAGCCTTATTAGCAGTTGTAAGGGCCCTAAGAGACTCATCGCCACAGTGAGTGGTCTCTTTCTTTGAAGAGTGAATGCTTCTGTCTTTAATATCCTCTCCTGATGGTGCAACTTTCAGAATGACTTTTGGCCTATTGACCACATAGCCTACTGGCAGAAATTCCCCAGTAGCCCTACTACGTGTAAGGGGCTTGTCTCAATTCCCACAGCCTGTCAAAGAGATGTACCTGTTCTTTATGCCTCACTTTTGTTGATTAAGTCATTCAAGAGTTGGATTTGTTGTTGTTTGTTCTTTTCCTTTTTGATTCTTTTGAGTACCAGTGTGTGCATAGTCCTAGGTACTAGAAACACTGCAATGATGGGGCTAGAGAGACGACCCAGTGGTTAAGAACACTGACTGCTCTTCTAGAGGGCCCAGGTTCAATTTCCAGCACCCATATGGCAGCTTACAACTGTCTGTGACTCCAGGATCCAGTACCCTCACACAGATATACATACAGGCTAAAACACCAATAAAATATTTTTTTTTTAAAAGAGGAAGGAAGCACAGTGATGAATGGGTCTCTCAAAGTTCTTGTTTTCATTCATTCGGAGTATACGCATCATATACGCTAGGTACAGTGACTCCCACCGGTAACTCTAGAACCCAGGAGACAGAGTAGAGAGTTCAAAAGCTTTCCCAATGAGTTTAAGACCTTCCTACGCTGCATATGAGTGCAAGGTCAGCTTATGCTACACAGCAAGACCTTGTCTCAGCAAGACGTTGTCTCAAAAATAAAGAATTAAGTACTGGGGGTATAGCTCAGTGATAGAGCACTTGCTGAAGTACAGAGCCCTGAAACATAGGAAAGCCAGGATGGTTGGCCAGGCCTTGTATTCTCTACATTGAGGGAGGAGAAAGCAGGAAGAAGATGGCTTTAAGTTGAGACCAGCCTGAACTACACAGTGAGGTCCTGTCTTGAAAAACAAAACAAAAACCAAAGAGGGCAGTAGGAGGAATCCTATACTGCATGGAACAAGAATATGGGCGAGATGGGTGGCAAGTTGGAAGGAAATGTGTCCAGCAGGACAGGTGCCCTCACCCACCTCGTGCTGGCTCTGACTTCTCACCCCTCAGCAGCATTTAATTTGAAGTTGTCACTTCAAAGCTTGTTCTCTTTACCCCGTCCTAGCCCTTCGGGACACTTGTCTAGAGATCAGCTTTCTTCAGAAGGAACGGCATGCTGTGTACCCACTCAGCACTCACATGCCTGAGAGGTCAGCTGCCTTCTGAATCAGAAGATAACTTTGTCGTGCTTTTCCAGCTGAGATACTATGACTCACCCGCTAGTCTCGCAGCTGGATGGCACCTGCGCAGGGCTGGTCAGAATAGCAGGTGTGTGATCCCAGAGACACCTTGCCGGTCACTGAGGGGTACAGAGACGAATGGATATCCACTCTCTAAGTCTCATCTGAGCCATTTCTTCCTCAGAGTGTGATGAAGTTGATGACTGTACTAGCCAGGGCTGGGGCAAACCCTTCCCGTGTTGGACATTTAAGACAGGACAGTTCTGAAACTTGGGTGTCGTGCAGGAGACCTGGGCTCGGCTGGTTGGGGCTGTAAATCTGTCGGTAAGATTGTGTCTTACTGCCAGGCGGTGGTGGCGCACGCCTTTAATCCCAGCACTCGGGAGGCAGAGGCAGGCAGGGATCTCTGTGAGTTCAAGACCAGCCTGGTCTACAAGAGCTAGTTCCAGGACAGGCACCAAAGCTACAACAGAGAAACCCAGGCTCAGAAAAACAAAAAACAAACAAAATAAAACAAAACAAAAAGATGGTGTCTTACTGCCTTTAGTTCTCATTTGATAGAATGGAGCTTCTGAGTTCTTTTGGCCAAGACAGCTTGAGCTGTAGAAAGGACTAAGGAGACCTGGGATTTCTGTCCCATACCTGTTTCTACTGAGCCTGTGTGCTCCACTAAAGTGGAGACAACCATTTTCCACAGGACTGTTCTAAGCATTAAAGTTGGAGAATGAAATCGGAGAAGTTTGTTCATACTGGAAAACCATGCCTGGGGTAGAGGCAGAGCTGGTATAATTTGGGGTCACCTTTCCCCTGCTAACCTCTCCCCAATAATGGTGGAGACCCTCAGTACTGTTGCCCAAGTTTTCTCTTTACTCCTTCTGCGTGGGTGTCCTCCTGAAAGCCAGTCTTGTCCTTGGTGTCAGTGAAGAATAGCTGAGGAGAGGAGGCGACGGCAGTCCACATGCTGGGAGGTTGGAGGTTTGAGCCACCGGGCGGACAGTGGATCTCTAAGCCAGCAGTCAGAACAGCTTCCGTGAGTGAGTGCATTCTTGTCTCCGTGAAGCACTGTGGTTTAGACAAAGTAACTGGTGTTTAGCTTCTTTCTTTAGAAGGGCAAAGGTGCTGGGCATGGTGGTGCCTGTCTTTAGTTCCAGCCCTGGGGAGACCAGAGGCAGGGGAAGCTCTGCATTCAAAGCCATTGTGGTCTGCAGGACATCCAGAACTAAATGACTCAAAAACAGAGGGGTGGTTAAGGTGTGCTGAATGACAGTCTAAACCTGAACTTTTTTATAACCTGTTTTCTGAATTGTGAAATGGTTGCTTTGGGCTCCTGAGCTAGTGTCAATCATTCTGTGGCTTTTCAGGCAGTTTCGGGCAATAGTCAGTTACTTCTCTCCACTTGGGACCTGTGTACTCTGGCTTTCTTAACTTCAGTTTATTTTGGTTTGGTTTAGTTTGCATTTTGTTTTGCTTTAATCACTTTATTTTATGGGTATGTGCGTGTGCCAGAGTGTAGGTATGTGTGCCATATACGGTGACAGAAGAGGGCATCGAGTCCCCCAAAACTGGAGTTGCAGGCTGCTGTAAGCCACCATGTGCATGCTGGGAACCAAATCTCAGACTTCTGCTGGAGCAGTAAGTGCCGGTAATTGCTGAGCCATCGGTCCAGCTCCTAGTTAGGTTTTTTGAGATGAAGTCTGTAGCCAGGCTGACCTGGAACTCCCCATATGACTGAAAGGGGCCCTGAACTCAGCAATCATCTTGCCTCTGCCTCCTCCCTTAAGTGCTGAGATTACAAGAATAAGCCCACCATATTGGGATTTGTGTTTTGTTTTAGCATGGTTTTGGTTTTCTGAGGCAGGTTGTCATGATGATACTAAACTCCTATTTCTTCTACCTCTATTTCCAAATGCTGAGATCACATGGCCTGGGGTGACTTTGTTTGTTTTTAAAGCTATTACTGGCCCATAGCCCTTATTAATAATGTGAGTACACTATTACTTTCAGCTAATCAATTCCTGGAGCTCTAATTGACATACTGTTATTTACATTGCTGAGGTCTAAACCCTAGGGTCCAGTTCACCCTGGCCCACAGAAGAGCAGCTGGAGTTTGAGGGCTAGGTCAGGAACAGCAAGACCGAGACAGAGAGGCTTGGGCCCTGGAAGTACGGGGCCTTGGCACCTCAGCAGCTGAATCTTGTCTTCTGGGCTGCATAGGGTAATGTGGAAGGAACTCAACCTCCAGGACAGGCATGTTGTGAAGGGTGACTGCTTGACCGCAGCAAATACCTTTTCTGCTATCCGGGAAACCAGAGTTTGAAGCTCGTCTCCTGAAGGCTTGGGAATCCCTGGGGAGGAGAAACAGAATGTGAAAGAATGAAGCCAGAGTTTTTAGTCAGAGCCTTTGTAGTCAGCCAAGAGCTCTCCTGGCAGCTTCTCCATAAGTGCCATGCTCTCTACACAGAGGTCCACCCTCCTGTAGGGTTGTTACTGCCTTCTAGGGAAGGCGGAGTTGGGTGTGGTCCCATCCTTGAGGACCACCCTGTTTCTCTACTCCAGGCCTACACTCCTCTCTGTCCTGAAGTCCTTCCTGCCAGACTGCCCAGAATGTTCCTTGGTGCTGCAGCTGAAGTACTCCCAGTCCCACTCGAGGTCTAGCTGAAGACAGCATTTACCTAGGAGTCCGGGTTTCCTCAGAGCTGGGGTTGGCATTGCTCTGAGTGGTGAAGCCAAGCCCCCGCTGTGTAATTGTGTCCTAGAACTGCTTCAACTTCCCTGTCCTCCTTCCTCTATCAGGTAAAAATTACGAAATGGCATCCGTTGGGGGATCACAGGAGACCTGTAAACAAGGCTCTTGGTGTAGCATCCCTTGCTGGTGTTAACGGCTTTGTGTTAATAATTGAGACAGCATAAACATTTGCTCTGTAGAGTTCCCTAGACACTTGTTTGCGTATGAATGTGCCTACCCAGCCTGAGTGCTCAGGCTTTGGGCCAGGGGAAGAAGGCACCTGGCCCTTGGAATCTTCAGCCGTGGATCCATACGCACATTGTGGGCAGTGGCCTTCTCTGCTTACGGTTTGTAGCTGCAGTCACTGCAATGACAGAAACCATTTCTACCCAAACACACCATGTTCAGACCTTGCACCTGAGAGATAAAATGCTATGCTTCCTTGGTCCTGCCTAGTTATGTGATGTCAGAACCCATGCTGGTCATTTACACATTTATCTGTGACACCCAGACTAAAGATTTGCAGCCCAGTGCAGAAGCAGAAGTGTTGGAGAGACTGCTCTCTCCCAGAACTGCTTCAGGTGTGCTTAAAACCCTGGACTGGGTCAGGAGTGGAGAACAAGACCAGCCGTGAATGTGAACTGTGAGGCCTAGCATGTGATCCCCACCAGTTCGTAGCCTCTTCAGTGAAAGCCCTTCCCTCCTTCATGCCCTGGCAGTCCTAAAGTTTTCACGTTCACAACCCCTTCTGCCTGAGAATTTTTACATGACCCAATAGGTAGGTGTATAAGGTAGACAAATCAAACATGTAATAATAATAAACCATAAATAAATCAATTTAAAAATATCTTGGTATATATGCAATTTGTACTGCTTATTGAAGGTTAAAACAAATTGCATACTGATAAGATGGCTGTGCTTGTTTATCCATCAAATTCAGGCTATAATAAATTGATACTTATGTGCTGAAAAATATTCAAAGCCTTTGTTTTTATAATTAAGCCATTATGTTTCTATAAAAGCAGAAAGTTTTGTACAATAAACACTGCAAGTTGTCTCAAATCTGAGCTGAGAGCTGGGTGCAGTGGTGCACACCTTTAATCCCAGGGCCCAGGAGGCAGAGTCAGTATCTGTAAATTTGAGGCCATAGCGGTCCAAGACAGCTAGAGCTACATAGAGAGACCCTGTCTAAAGGGGGAAAGGAGATTGGCTCAAACCTGAGCAGAGGTTGTCCAGGCAGTGCGCATGATGATGTCTGATGATGTATGGCGAATTCCTGTATAGTTCAGAACACGTGTTGCATGTTCAGAACAGCGGATGAAGTCGTGTGATGCAACTCACATGACCTCTGCCAGAAATACTTCAGATTCGTGAGTCACTGATTTTGAATTAACTTTTAGTTGTTGTGCGTTCAGAAACCTTTCCTGTTGGTAAGTTCTTGCAACCCCTACATTCAGTGTGCCGCTTGGTCGGGGCTTCAACCCACTGTTGGAAAAGCTTTGCAAATTCCTATTTCACAGGCCCTGACTTTCTATACAGATTTTGGTGTGAGGAGCTCTTGCCTGCCGTTTGTGGTGCAAGGGTTTCACCCCTCCCAGGGACTGAGCCTCTGGCCTGTCTCCTTCCTTAAAATCCAGTCTCAGTTTAGTGACCAGGTCTGACTGCCTGCTGCCTGTCGGGAGGGGCTGTGGTTGTGGGGTAAGTTGGGAGCAAGTTCGTCTAGCTTTCTTGTGTCCCTGCAGGTGTCGTGAGCCTCCTTGCCAGCTGCTGCCAGAGTGGAAATGCTTTCAGAGGAGAGTGGGCTGGACCCTCGGGCTACCATCCAGGTATGTGGGCAAGATAGGGTCAAGGTGGGAAGGGCTGTCCAGGGCCACCATTTCATCAGCTTTTACCTTTAAAAGATTCCAAAGCTATGGAGAAACCCTGTCTCGAAAAACAACAACAACAATAATAATAATTTCTTGAGGGTCTCGTGTAGTAGCCTAGAATGGCCTTGAACTCACTTCATAGCAAAGGATAAACTCCTGATTCTCCTGCCTCAACCTCCAAGGTGCTGGCATTTCTGGCATGTATCACCATCTTCAACTTCCATCTACTTTTCTTATTTTGAAATAACTAAGCCAGTCAACAAGGAGCTACAGTCCGCAGGGACCTGCCTTTCCTCTCCTGGCCACTAGAGGGTCGGCTCTACCCATTTCCCTGTTGGCTTCCAGGTAGGCCTTCGCAGTTATCTGTCCTACCTGAGCCCTGTGGAGCAGGAACAGAGCCCTGGCTTCCTAGCAGGGGCTGCACAGCCCCTGGAGGTGTATGTCTGGTTATCCCTGCTTTCCATGATACAGCACCTGGTTGGCACTCAGTTAGGAATAGTTTGTGCTTTTTATATAATCTAGTACTATATTTGAAACAGTGTTTACAATTCAACTCCAAGATTAAAATCTTTGCCTTAAAGGACGCTATTCATAAAGTGTTGAGGGAGAGATGAAAAAGAAAAGGTCTTATCTCTGATAAAGGTCTAGTATCTAGAATATAGAGAGAACTACTTCAGCTCAGCAGTTAAAAGATAATCTTGGGACTGGGAAATGGCTGTTCAGTTGTGTGTGCTGGCACGAAGCCCTAAGTTTGGAATTCTAGAACCCGCATAAAAGCCGGTCCTGGCAGCCTGTGTCTATAATCCCAGTTGCCGGGAGGGTAAGGGCTGACAGATCCCCAGAGTTCATTGGCCAGGTAACCTATGAATTGGTGAGCTTAGATTCAATGAGAGACCTTGTCTATAAAAATAATGTGTAGAATGACTAAGACGCTCAACATTGACTTCTTGCCTCCACATACATGTGTGCACTCAACTACACACACTGACACATATACGCACACACCACACATAAAAACAAGTTATACAGTAGACAAAGGATTTCTCCAAAGAAGATATGCAAATGACCGGTAAGTACACAAAATAATGCTTATTGCCGTTAGATCCCGGGAAATGTAAGGCAAAGCTATGGGAAGGTGCTACTTCACACCATGAGGGTAGCAGTCATCAGAAAGACAACAGCAGGTGCTAACGAAGCATGGAAAGTTGGCTCTCCTCTAGTCTCTGGGAATTGAAAATCATGGTTACTTTGGTAGACAGCTCAGTGTTTCATAGAAAATTTAAATGGAGCTTTTGGGTTGTTTTTTATTCCTTTTCTTTCTAGTGTTGGGGATGAAATACAGAATCCCACAGATGTAGGCAGTGCTCCACCCGAGCCACATCCCCAACCTGGCATAGGGAGCATAGGTTTTATGTGATGTAACAGTTTGGGATTTTCAGGCAGGTTTTACTATGTAGTTTAGGCTGCCCTCTGAACTCACAGGAAAGGCCTCAGCCTGTAAGTGTCAGGATTGCAAGCCTGTGCCATCGGGCGAGCTCTATGACTTACCAGTTCTAGACCTGGAATGTGGATACAAACACTCAGTAGCTCTGTAGTCAAAAAGTGGGAACAAGCCAGGTATTCCTCTTCTTATAAATGGCCAAGTAAAGCATGGTATATCCATGCAGTCGGATATACTTGTTGATAAAAAGAAATTAAATACCCATATGTGCTATAGAATAGATAAGCCTTGAAAACATGCCAAGTCGAAGAAGCCAGACTCAAGTCATATGTTGTATGTTTCCATTTCTTTGAAATGACCAGAATAGATAAATCTCTAGAGGCAGAAAATAGATTATCCTGCAGCTACTCCACCCCACCCCCAGCCACCGATACATACTTTGCTTAAGTGGTGTTGAAATGCTCTAAAATTAGCTAATGGTAAAGGTTACACAATTCTCTGAGAATACTAAAAACCACTGAACTTTATTTCCTTTTCCAAAACTTTCTACATTCTATTGACATTAAATCTTCAGATCAAAGAAATTCAATGAATGCTAGAATAAATACAATAAAACCATTTGGGTTTTTTTTTTTTTTGTTTAGGACTACATTTATGATTTAAAGTGATAATAAAAAAATAATGCTGGGGAGATTGTAGTTGGTTGTTTTCTTTATTCTTTTTACTCTTTGGGGCTCTTTGCTCTTTTGGGGGGGCCGCCACCCAGCTCCCAAATAAATCACACGGAGACTTATACTTCCTTATAAATGCCCAGCCTTAACTTGGCTTATTTCTAGTCAGCTTTTCTTATTATCCTGTCTACCTTTTGCTCTAGGCTTTTTCCTTTTTTTACTTCTGTATATGTTACTTTCACTCTTACTGTGCGGCTGACTGGGTGGCTGGGTCCTAGTGTCCTCTCTGATTTGGAATGTCCCTCTATATGCTGTGAATATGTTTTATTACCATCGGTTAATGAAGAAGCTGATTTGGCCAATAGCCAGGCAGAATAGAGCCAGGTGAGTAATCCAAGCAGAGATACTGGGAGAAGCTGCTGGAGAAGCAAACGTGAAATAACTCCACGGCCACGTAGCAATGCATAGTTTAATAGAAATGGGTTAAGTTGAGATGTAAAAACTAGTTAGTATTAAGCCTGAGCCATTGGCCAGACAGCTTGTAGTCAATATTAAGCCTCAGAGTGGATATCCAGGAACTAAAGAACAAGAGAGAAATCTCCAGTTACACCTATCTCCTTTTCTTGTTCTTTTCTCCTCTTTCCCAGATTTCTTCTTCTATTTATATTCTCTGCCTGCCAGCCCTGCCTATCTTTTGTCCTGCCTCACTATTGGCTGTTCAGCTCTTCACTAAACCATCAGGTGTTTTAGACAGGCAAAGAATCACAGCCTCACAGAGTTAAACAAATTCATCATAAACAAAGGCAACACATCTTTACATCATTAAACAAATGTTCCACAGCATAAACAAAAATAGCATACCTTAAAACAATATTCTACAACATTTCTCCCTTGTATAAATAAAAATGAAAGATTTTAACTGGGCAGTGGTGACGCACGCCTTTAATCCCAGTGCTTGGGAGGCAGAGGCAAGCAGAGCTCTGTGAGTTTGAGGCCAGACTGGTCTCTAGAGCTATTTCTAAGACAGACTCCAAAGCTACAGAGACATCTTGTCTCAAAAAACAAAAACAAAAGAAGAAAGAGTATAACTTAAACATAGTAAAACTGTATACAACAAAATAATTATCAAGTAAGAATTAATTTACAATATTCAGTTCATTCGCATTTAGCAAATTCAGAGAAAATACATTACCTATCTTAGTGAAATCAAAATTTCATACCTGACCTATCTTTTCATAATTAAAGAAAACTGCAACTATAACTAGTCTTCACCTCCATCTAAGACCCCAGAAGGAATTAATATTACCTAAGTAAACAGGAAGTTTATTGCAAGTGACTTCCAAGACTTTAGAAATGACAGAGACATATGGCTACCTGGACCGTCACCCAGAGTCCTCTGCAACACTGGGGCATCCATCTTCAGCCTACAGGCCTAGAGTATTTGCTTTGCTTTTCAGCAGAGCAAGAATTTTGAAGGACCGTCCTGCTTTGTTTAACAAAATTCAGTAGTCTTTTTTCTGTGTCCTGCATGTCCAGTCTACATGCACATTTTCAGCAGTCAAAGGCAAAAGCAGTTTCTTTGCCCAGTGACTAACCTTGTCACAATGAAAGCAAACTCCATAAGGAGTTTTTTCAATGCCCATCATCTCTCAAGTAAATTGGCACTGCCAGGAACAGATGTGTCTCATTATCATGAGAAACCTTAGGTTAACAAAATTTTAGATCCCATATCTTTAGGTCATTGAAATGTTTGAAAACCATTCACCTATCTAAAATGTATCTCTGTATGACCTAGAAAACATGCCTAACATATCTACAAGTTTAGCTGTTATAAATGACTACTAACCTATGTTTCTTGATTATGATTACCCTAACTAGTTTATAATAATAGCTTTCAAAAACTAGAATTTTACCTTACATTTGTAAATGAATTGCATAGGTACAATACCTTAAACAAGAGTAGAAACATACAGACAATATGTTGTAACAAAAATAACCTTAAATTTGTATCAATATACAAAAATCCTTTAAATAAGAATAGAAACATATATACAATGTAATAAAATTTACTTTGAATTTTTATAGAGTTCACGGCAGTGCAAAATATGAAATTAATTGTTGTGTTTTTATTCTATATTCCTATATTCCCCTAGAATTAACAGACATCTATGACCCACCAAATAACCAAAAGCCTCCAACAACCCAACTGGTGGGAATGTGGATGTTGTTTTCTCTAGACTGCTTCCTGCTAAATGTGGATGAAGGCATTTTTAGGGTCCTTGAGAAAATTTGAGATGATGACCAAGTCCTGGGAAGACCAGCCATAACCTTTGTTGATAGATATCACCTGTCAAGTTTCAAGCAGTCTCCCTCGATCAGACCAGATCCATATCAACCTGCAGTGAATCCACGGCCTTTTGTTTCCTGTGAGAACACAAGCAAAACTGCTTCTCCAAAGCCTTTCTGATTTCCATGTGACAGATACATTTTTTTACTTTTTAAAGTTAAGGCGTTCCTAAAGTATATGGCCTGGTGTATTTCCACAACAACTCAAAACAAAACAAAAAACCAGAAGTTTTTAGTTTAAATGGGAGAATTTAATGTGAATTATAACTTGTTAATTAATTTTTTTTAAATTCAGCTTTCCAAAGAACACTAACTCTTTAGATCAAGTCAAAATAAAAGTAAACTATTTATCTATAACGTAATACTTGCTACAAACCAGTTTTTCTGCAGTTGTGTCTAGTTCTTTGTCAAACACTAATATGGCTTTAATAGACTCATAATTATGATTATATACATTCTATGCTAAATTTCCACAATCCTTGATGTGCATTTTGTAATGCATGCCTTCTATACATGTACCAGGCACAGTGGCAACTGTTGGGGAACACAAGGAGAAATGAAAACCCAATGTCTGCCCTCAAGCAATGGCTCCACTGGGCTTGATAGTTCAGATAGTCTCTGAATGTGAGTCTAGCCTGGTTTACAAAGTGAGTTCCAAGACAGCCAGATCTACAGAAATCCTTTATCGAAAAAAAAACATAATAATAGTATTAATAATAAAAATAATAATAATAATAAAAACTCTGAATTTGGAGTTAGCCTGGTCTACAGAATGAGTTCCAGGAGAGCCAGGTCTGTGGAAACCCTTTCTAAAAATAAATAAATAAATAAATAAATGAAAGAAGAAGCAGTGTCCCAGTGTTATAGGTCACGTAATATCATTTCCATTTAACTTAGGGAACTGAGGCTCAGAGAGGTTAAGCGAGGTGTCTGCAAACAGAGCTGGTACTGATGTAAGCCCAGCCTGTAGGCCTGGGCTCTTAGCTGATGTAATTAGGCTCCTATGGTCTTTTCCCCCACTGTGTTGGGGATCTAACCCTGGGCTTGTGTCTGCTAAGCATACTCTCTAGCACTGAGCCACACCCCTAGTCCTTTCTTGGTTTTTGCTCTAAAGAAATATTCTCTGCCTCCTTAGCTTGTCTCTGCAGAATGCCCCTGAGCTAACATAGCTATGACTACATGGATCTGGTATTTAAATACAAGGCTAAAGGTCCATTAAAAAGAAAAGAAAAAAAGATTTGTACGAGAGAGATGCTTCAGTGATTAAAAGCTCTTGTTTTTGCAGAGGTCCTGGGTTTGATTCCTAGTATCTACATGATGGATAGTTTACAACCATCTGTAACTCCAGTTTCAGGGGATTTGATACCCTCTTCTAACCTCAGACACCAAGCATATATGTGTGGTACACATATATTATACATATAAGCCAAACACTCATACATTAAATAAAATTAATAATTCTAATTTACAAAAAAAAACATGTACAAAACCATTTCTCTGTTTTCTGAATCTTTACTTGCCACAGTAGCTAGCTCTGCAGCAGTCTCGGGTTCTGTACATAGGTGTGTTTGTGGTCACACACATGAAAAAACAGGCCATGGGCTACATTCCAGGGACTCTGTGTAGGATTTACCCCTAAAGTCTGCCATTGTCTTCGACACCTCTTAGGTCATCAAGAAGAAGCTGGTGGGATCCGTGAAAGCCCTGCAGAAGCAGTATGTGTCTCTGGACACAGTGGTCACCAGTGAAGACGGAGATGCCAACACCATGTGCAGTGCACTGGAGGCTGTGTTTATCCACGGCCTGCATGCCAAGCACATCCGTGCCGAGGCCGGGGGGAAGAGGAAGAAGCACACTCAGCAGAAGCCTCTGCCTCAGCCTGTTTTCTGGCCCCTCCTGAAGGCCGTCACCCACAAGTGAGAAACCCTGGAGAGGGTTGGCGTCAGTGAGCTTCAGAGTGCAGGGCACGAAACTCTCTTGAGGGAGGCAAGTCAGACACCACAGTGTTGTAGGCACTGTGAGGTAGGACTGGAGATGGACGGCCTTATAGGAAGGCTGATCTCCAGATCTGAGATGTTCTTCTCTTGTCTAGAGCCTGTGGCTGCTTCTCACCAGTACTGTCGACCTCTGACTACACTGGGCTGAGTCATGTGCTTGCTACCGAGTTGTGTGGCCTGAAAAGACTAAAATATTCTCTGGTCCTTTTAACGGGGAAAGTTTGCTGACCTTGCCTTTGAATGTTTGAGTTTCCATCTGCTAAACTTAGTTTTTAAAAATTTTATGTATATGAGTATTTCCCTATAAACATGTCTGCTCCGTGTATGTCCCTGGTGCAGGTCACACAGCCAAAGAAGGGTGCAAGATCCTCTGGAACTGAAGCTGGAGATGACCGAGCCACCATATAGGTGCTAGGAATCAAACCTGGTTCTAAACTTTATAGACATAATAAGTTGTGTCTGGCATTTAGCCAAGAAGCCAGATAGTGACTGAATATTCACTCCAAGGCCCTGTCTTTGACCTTTCTCTTGACTGCTTAGGCTCTAAGTTGGTAGGTAGCTGGCATTGCCTACTTGGCATATGAAATGCCACCTCAGCCTGAAGATGCCGTGTCAGTCTCTGGTTTGCATTTCCCTACCTGCTGCCGCTGCCCTGCCTTGGGTTTTTAGCTCTCTTCTGAGTAACAGTGTTTTTTTTTCTTTTTTAAATTTATGTATATATGCCACATGCATGTGGGTGACCAGGAAATCCAGGAGAGGTGATTGGATTCCTGGAGCTGGAGTTATGAGTGCTTGTGAGCCAGGCAGTATATACTGGGAACTGAACTCGGGTCCTCTGGAAGTGCAGCAAGTGCCATCTCTCCATCTCTGGACAACGCTTTTACAGCTGTCTCTCTGTATCTTGTTCAGCGTCTCATTGGTTCAGTTAGCCGTCAACATGTGCTGGGCTGCAGTTAGTTGGAGCTTAGCCACTGAGTCCAGAGGATGGTGGGTGCACTCCTGCACAGGATACTGTGGTAGCACGAGGGTTTATCTCAGACTGCAGCTTTGGGAACTGAGTTTGGTGCACCTAGGGTCCACTCTAATGTGTACTACTGTGGTCAGCTCACTTCCCTGTGCAGAACCACTTAGCTCCCAAGCAGTTCACTAGGTCAAAGCCTTGAATGTGTGTCCGGCTAAGTTCTCCCATGTTGTAATAAGAGCGTCGGGCTGCTTCCCGCCACCCGGCTAGCTTTACCCGAAATAATTACACGGAAACTGTATTCTTTTAAATACTGCTTGGCCCATTAGTTCTAGCCTCTTATTGGCTAGCTCTTACATATTGATCTAACCCATTTCTAATATTCTGTGTAGTACCACAAGCTGGTGGCTTACCAGGGAGATTCTTAACCTGCATCTGCCTCGGAGAGGAGAATCATGGCGACTGCCTGACTCGGCTTCTTTCTCCCAGCATTCTGTTTTGTCTACTCCGCCTACCCAATTTTCTGTCCTATCAGGCCAAGCAGTTTTCTTTATTAGTTAACCAATGAAAGCAACAGATAAGATACAAGACCCACCTCCATCACTCCCAGGTGCTTTAGCTTAACAGCCAAGTATGGGATCTTTTTCTCCCATATAGCCTGATCAGGTGACAGTCAAGGCCCCCTCTATTGCCTGGCTTTGTGACCTGCCAGCATCCTCCACCTGTTGTGATGGGAACTCTCCCAGTCCCCTGATAGGTCTGCTGCCTTTCTGCCCATTATGTCTTCTCTAATAGTCCATTGTGATGAAAGTTTGTCCATCTTTCTTTCTGGAAAGTCTTCAGGGCCTAACCCAGACAGTGCCCTTTTCTAAGCAGAATCGAGGGCCCAGCCTCCCACTCCACCAACAAAGGGACTGAACTCCATTGTATTTTCTGTGGCGGCAGTAGCCTGGGGCTGAGAGCATAGCTCAGTAGTAGAAAGCACACTTAGCACACTCAAGGTCCTGGATTTATTCCCCAGGCATTAAGGGTTGGGCTTTAGCAAATATGTCCTGGCTTAGTAGAGGACATCTGGTAGCTGTAATTCAACAGCTCAACTTTTCTGAATTCCCTGAGTTGTTACCCCAGAATTTGTTCTGTTTAAGTGTGTTTATGTTTGCAGTACTTACCACTGGTTCTTGCTAAGCAGTGACTTAAAACCGTGTCTCTGCTCTGCCCCTCTCCAGACACATCATCTCAGAGTTGGAACACCTGGTCTTCATCAACACAGATGTAGGCCGCTGCCGGGCCTGGCTGCGGCTGGCCCTCAATGATGGTCTGATGGAGTGCTATCTGAAATTGCTCCTGCAGGAGCCCGCACGGTTGTGCGACTACTATCAGCCCACAGCCCTGCTGCGGGATGCCGAAGAGGGAGAGTTCCTCCTGAGCTTCCTGCAAGGACTGACGTCCTTGTCCTTTGAACTCTCCTACAAGTCGGCCATCTTAAATGAGTGGACACTCACCCCACTGTCTCTTTCTGGGCTCTGTCCCCTCTCTGAACTCGAACCTCTCACTACCTCTGGGACAGAATTACAGCGGAAGGAGTCTCTGGATTCAATTTCCCATTCCTCGGGCTCTGAGGACATCGAAGTCCAACACTCTGGCCACAAGATCCGCAGGAACAGGAAGCTCACTGCCTCTTCCCTCAGCCTGGACACGGCCAGTTCATCCCAGCTGTCCTGCAGCCTAAACTCTGACAGCTGCCTGCTCCAAGAGAACGGCTCCAAGAGTCCCGACCATTCTGAGGAGCCCATGTCCTACGACTCAGATCTGGGCCCAGTGAATGCTGATGACTCTGACAGGTCTCTGCAAGAGTGAGTAACCCTGCAGCCATTGCTCTGCCGCTGTGCATGGGCTTGTCGCAGGGCACTGTGGGGTGTAAGGAAGTCAAGAGACAGGCCTCTCAGTAGGGAGATCAGATTGCTTTGGTTTTTTTGAAGTGTCTTCCCTCTGTAGTCCAGGCTACAGTACCAGGTTCTCCTGAGTGCTGGCATTAGAGGTGTGAGCCACCACTCCCAGCTAGAGAGTAGATTTAGAAATCAGAGTTGGACTTTGACCTTTCTGAGGTGCATATAAAATATGTCCTTTTCATCTAGAGGGAATAACAGTTCCCTCTAAATGCTGATAGTTCAGAATGATACACAACTTCCAGCAAATACAGTGAAGTGGAGTGTGTAGGCTGTGCCCTTCAGAACACCTGGCAGACACAGAACCTGAGACAAATGGGGACGAGTAAGTGTGAAAAACGTGCAGAAGACTCTCTTAACTCACTCCGCCAAAGGGAACGTGGGGCCAAGCTGCACCCATCCCCAGTGCTAGACACGCTGAGCTGCGCTGCCAGCCCTAGCAGGCCCTCTTCACCCCTCTATACCCCGCGCAGGGCAGGGAGTCAAACCAGGCCTTACGTGAGCTAGGCAAGCTCTCTACCCCAGAACTACACCCCCAAACCCCAAAGCTTTTTGGGTTTCATTTAATTTTGTTTATTTTTGTGAGACAGAGTCTCATACTGTAGCCCAGGCTGGCCTTGAACACTGCTTCTGCCTCCTGAGTGCATATGCTTCCAAGTTCCTAAATGTGTCTGTAACAGAAACATCGTTTTTACTTTATTATTTTTTAAGTTTTCTTCCTGTTTCTTCCATGGCCTACAAAAGGTAGTGCGTGTGTGTTGCTGGTGTGTCAGAGTCTCTTCCTTCTCCTCTTATGTCTGTTGTTCCACTCAGTAGGCACTGAGTTACGTCAGCTCCCAGAAGCTGGTTTACAGTTTCCGCAAATACTGTCTGCTAACACTCCACCAGGAGTGTCCCATGATCTCTCAGTCCCAGGTTACAGGCATTAGTTACTTTCTGTTGAGTTCAAGTCTGTGTTCCATCAACTCCTGTCTAGGACCTTTTCACTACTACTGTACACCCTACAGCCTTGGTTCAGGCCCTTCCAGGTTGCCACCTGGCATAGGATCGACTCAGACCCAGTGATATGTGGGCAGGGCTCACAAAGACCTGGTGTCCAGGTCTGCTCCACAATTTGCAAGTCAAGTAATGTAAGTCAAATCGCTGACTCTTTCTGGGCCGTTTCTCCATCGTTAAAACAGAGATTTCTCATAGAGTGGTGTGAGCCAAATCATTGCCTATGTAGTAAACATATGCAAGGAGGTACAGTTAAAAAAAAAATCTGCCAACACGATCACTCCCTGGTGTGGGGAAGGGGAAGGTTTCTATTGTAAATAATAGAGACAATACCAAGAGGCATCTGAAAGAAATCAGAGCAGAGAGAGAAAGCAATCGACTGAACATGGCAGCAGACTGGACACGGCCAGGGCTATCTATCTGTGAGAGGAGGGAGAACAGCCAGAGACAGAAAACAGAGAGGGGGTAGTGAGAATAGGAGCAGCAGAGGGGGGCCCTTGCCCTTAGAGCGACAAATGGGCATCTGGGAGGAGGAAAACCTGGGTGGGTGAGAAGATCTGGGATGCTAGTGTGGACTTCGGAATGGAATGTATGGTATGTACTTGTGACGCCGAGGGAGCCTGGAGGCCAGTATGTGCTTTGCTATGCAGCTACAGGTTTGTGTCAATGGATCTGTATGTCCCTTCTGCCAGAGGCAAGGGAAATGACTCCTTATGGAAGACGGAAACTGGGTTTACAAGTTGTTGAGGAATGCTGGCTTTTTTTTTTTTTTTTTTTTTTTTTTTTTGAGACAGGATTTCTCTGTGTAGCTTTGGAGCCTGTCCTGGAACTCTGTAGACTGGGCTCATCTCAAACTCACAGAGATCTACCTATCTCTGCCTCCCAAGTGCTGGGATTAAAAAGTGTGCTGACTTTTTTCTAACCACCAGAAATCCTCCCATAGTCTAGGTTGAGCTCATTCTTGGACCACCTTTTAGAGTTTGTGGGATTAGAGTTTTCTTTAGACCTGACAGTCAGTTGCTCATATGAAAATGGTAGACTCCAGAGGCAGAGTAGAGTCCATGAGATGGCAATTTCAGAAGTCAGATGAGGAGTTTAGATTGAGCACATTGGGGAGAAACCCCAAGGAGCCACCTCTGCCTTGATAAATGCTGGGGTGGGGGTGGTCTAACGTTACTTAGGCTAGCTTACCTCGCTCAGGCCTTCTCTTTGTCATGAGCCTTGCCTTTATCTCTCATGAGTCTCAAGACTAGAAAGTTCCAGCATAAGGTCTTTGAGTCAGTGGCTATCCACCCTCTCTGGGAATCATTGACGTGGTTCTTATGGGGAAACTCTGAAAGAACTGAGGGTCAGGATGTGTAGATAAGCACCAGGCAATGATGTGCGTAACTGGAGCCTTGACCACACCGAGGCAATGCAGGGTCAGTGCTGACATTCTCAGAGCCAGGCCTCAGAGTTACCCTCTGGGGGAGGGGAGTATGGTCAGAGGGCAACTTTCTGGAGTTAATTCTCTCCTTCCACCATGTGAGTTCAGCAGATCAAAATCAGGTCCCCAGGCTTCACAGTAGGTGTTTCTGCTTGCTGAGCTGTCTCCCTGGCCCAGCATTTAAAAAAAAAAAAAAAAAAAAAAACCATGAGGTCTTACCATATATCCTAGGCTGGTCCTGAACTCTTGATCTGCCAGAGCTGGGCTCACAGAAAAGCACCCCCACACTGGGCCTGATGTTAGCCTGTAAGCTGCAGGAATTAGCATTTCTACATCCTCAGCAGCACTTCGGTTGAGTTTGTTCCTTATGATACTTGAATATTTAAGTTAATTAGGCATAAATATCCTGTCCTTAATGTTTCAGCTCTTAAAACATCTGCAGGTTAGCCGGGCGATGGTGGCGCACGTCTTTAATCCCAGCACTCGGGAGGCAGAGGTAGGCGGATCTCTGTGAGTTCGAGACCAGCTCTGGTCTACAGAGCTAGTTCCAGGACAGGCCCCAAAACCACAGAGAAACCCTGTATCGGAAAAAAAAAAAAATCTGCAGGTTGAACAAAGTACAAAACATGACTTCAAAATAAACCTTTCTCATTTTCTCTAAGGGTTCTGTTTGCAGAGAGAAAATTGTGGCTTGCCCTATGGGCAGAGGGCTGAATGTTCTTTGGGTCTGGACTATGATTATGGAGGGTTGTGGACTCAAGCGCTGGACTGCTTGGGCTGTCCACTTACCAGCCCTGTTTCCTTGGTGTTGACCACCCCCTCTGACCTGTCTTTCCACTGCAAACTTTGTCAACGTTTGTCAGATGTCATTTTCCAAGGGAAGTGACTCAGCGTTGGAGTTCACACTGCGCTTTCTCAGTGGCCCTTACTTTAGAGTGAAACAGAGCCACACACGTTCCAGCAGCATGAGGGTCTGCGTGGTCAGAGTCCAAACCCTGCCTGGCTCGGCAGAACTGCTCTCCAAGGTGTACACACCTCTGTGAACACACATGTACGGATGCACAGACAGGAGGCTGGGGAGAAGTCTGGCTGGAAAAGTACTCATCTTACCTGAACTGAGTCCCCAGAACCCATGTTGAACAATCTGGGAGTAGTGGTGCCCGTTTGTAACCCCAGTTTTCTGAAGGCAGAGCCAGGTGGATCCCTGGAGCTCACTGCCAGCCAGCAAACTTACTAGGCTGGCTGCAGGCCGTGAGGGATGATGCGTGAGGTAGCCTGCACACGCGTGTACCTGCACATACATCTCTCTATCTCTCCCACACACCAGAAACGGGAGGAAGAAAAGAAGCCAGCATTTTCCACTCCCTAGAAGTAACACTCTTAGATTTTCCTTGAATTTTTTCATTTATTTATTTATTTATCCTGGAGCTAGGCTTGTAGACTAGGCTGACCTCGAACTCACAGAGATCCCCCACCTGGCGTGCTGGGATTAAAGGCATGCGCCGCTGCCACCCAGCAATTTTTTTTCTTTTGAGCAAGAGAGACAGTACTGGGAGCTGAACCTAGAGTTCATTTATGCTGGGCAAACTTTACCACTGAGGTATATCCCTAACTTTCCTAAGTTTCATTGTGTAGCTCTTGCTCTCCTGCAATTCACTTATATGGACAAGGCAAGCCGCAAACTCACAGAGATCTGCCTGCCTCTACCTCCCAAGTGCTGGGATTAAAACGTGCACTATTATGCTCAACCATTTTTGAAACAAGGTCTCCCTAGGCTGTCCATGAACTCATTGTGAAGTTCAGGCTGGTCTTGAATTTAGGATCCTCCTGCCTGGGCAGCGTCAGAAGAATTACAGGTACGAGCCACCGAGCACCATCCTGCACTTCTTGATTTTGTTTGTTTGTTTGTTTGTTTCTGAGATAGCATCTCACTTTATGGTCTTGGTTGTACTCCTTAGGTAGACCAGGCTGGCCTTGAGCTCAGAGCTCAAGTGTTGGGAACAAAGGCCTTGCTTGAGCCACCACCCCTGACTTGATAAGTTGTCCCCTCACTCAAGCCCCCCATAGTATTAAAAAATAATTCCATTTTGGCATTTTCATACAAGCATATGTTTTTGATCACACCCTCTTCTATTATGCCCTCTTACTTTTCCTTTTCCCTGGTTTTCTTCCTTTTCCCATACAGCATCCCTGTGATTTTTCCCTCTGATTTCATTGTCTTTTTTTAAACGTAGATCCTATATGTGGGTGAAAATATACAGTGCACGTCTTCCTGAGTCTCAGTTCTCATACCATCCATTCTCCTGTACCTGGTGCAGTTTTCCTCTAGGTTGCAGCTGTGTGCCTACCTCGTTTTTCTTACCCAGCCATCTGCGGGTGAGTAGCTGGGCTGCCTCTGACTGAGCCGTTGTCAGCAGTACTGCACGAGAGCTGGAATCCTAGTGTGGCTGGTGGGATATAATTGTTCTCTTTTTGTTTTTTTGTTTTTTTTTGAGGAACCCCCCCATACTGATTTTCACAGTTCTAGACTAATACTGTATAATATAAAGGTTCCTTTCCCCCTCACATCTGCTGTTTATTAATTTTTTTACTTTTTTTATGTTTTGCCTAAATGTATGTATGTATACCACATGCGTGCAGTACCTGTGAAGGCCAGAAGAGGACACCAGATCCCCTGGGTCTAGAGTAATAGGCATTTGTAAGCCACTGTGTAGATGATAGGAATCCAACCCTGGACTCAGCAAGAGCAGCCAGTGCTCTTAACTGCTGAGCTGTCTTTCTTATGAAGATAAGATAATCACGTTCACACATCATAAAATTCACCGTTTTTTTCCTTTCAGATTTTTAATATAGAATCTTATAATTTAGCCTGACATGGAACTCACTGTGTAGACCAGACTAACCTCAAACTCATCACAATCCTCCTGCCTCTGCTTTAGTGCTGTAATTACAGACATGAGCCAAAATGCCCAGTTGCAAGATCATTACTGTGTAACTCAAGACCACTTTTATTGTCATGGAAGGAAAGGGCAGTGCGTTCCCATTTGCTCTGTTCTCGCCTGTTCTGGACATTTGTGCGAACAGAACCTTGTACTATGTGGCCTTTTGTAGCCAGTTCCTTGTACTTAGTTTAATATCTTCAGGATTCATCCACACTATGGCATGCATCATGTCTGGATACATTTGGTGTGTGTGCCCCGGTTTGTCATGCTCCTGTTAACTGACTGCTCTCCAGCTTTGGCTCTGAAGGTAATGGTGCTGAGCAGATAGTGATGAGCCGTCGTGTCCAGACTTCTGCTGGACATATTTTGATTCTCTTAAAGAAGAGTTGCTGGACCACGTGGAACTCTGAGGAGCTACCAAACTGCTCCTATAGCAACGGTACCATTTTATATTCTTACTATTAACATACAAGAGCGAATTCCTTAGCTGGAAATGAGAGCAGTAGAGGCAGGAGACTTAGAAGTTCAAGGCCAACCTTGGCTAAATAGCAAGTTTGAGATTCTGTCTACAAAAAATAAATTTAAAAAAGTTAATTTCCCCAGATTTTTGCCAGCATCTGTTGTTTTTTATTGTGGCCATCCTAGTGAGTATAAAGTAGTGCATCCTCACGGCTGTTTGCATTTCCCTGGTGGCCAGTGGTGTAGAGCACCTTACCATGTACTTACTGAATATGTCTTTACAGAAGTATTTTCAGTCTCTTTGTCTATTTTAGCTTCAGTTATTTGTAATTTACTGCTGGGTTATAGGAATTTTTGCTCTGAAAGGCCACTTGTTTATTTCCCAGCCGCCCAGCAGCTCAGATCCAGAATAATCACACAGAAACCATATTATTTAAATCATTGCTTGGCCCATTAGCTCTGGCTTCTTATTGGCTAACTCTTACATCTTAATTTAACCCATTTTTATTAATCTGTGTATCACCACGTAGCCGTGGCTTACTGGGTAAAGTTCCTAGCGTCTGTCTCTGGCGGGGGTTCATGGCTCCACCTCCTTTCTCCCAGCATTCAGCTTAGTTTTCCCCGCCTAGCTCTTTCTGCCCTGCTATAGATCCGAAACAGTTTCTCTATTCAACAATGGTATTCAAAGCATACAGAGGGGACTCCCATATCACCTCCCCTTTTCTGTTTAAATAAAAAGGAAGGTTTTAACTTTAACATAGTAAAATTACATACAACAAAACAGGTGTCAAGCAAGAATTACAGTTATAATATTTATATGTACTTTATCTTTTATCATATCTAAGGAAAACGATAACTATAAATTCTTCAGAAGGATATAATATTACCTAAGTTAATTGGAAGTGCATTATAAGCAACTTCCAAAACTCTAAAAATGACAGAGACATCTTGCTGCCTGGGCAGTCACTCAAAGTTTTTCTGTACCATTGGGGCATCCATATCCAGCCTACAGGCCCATAGTATCCAGCAGACTTTTCCATGAAGCAGGAAATTTCAAAGACAGTTTTATCTATATTGGCAGTTTTTCAGTCACTTTTTTGTGTCCTGTGGAATGTCTGGCAGACGCTTATGAAGCAGGAACCCTGAAGGACGGTCTCACCTTTAGGCAAGTTCAGCAGTCATTTCTCTGTGGGTCCCGCATGTCTAGTTCATGCAGCATAACTTCAAGCAGTCCAGGCAAGAGCAGTTTCTTGCCCAAATGGCTAGCCAACTCTGTAAGGAGCCTCTTCGATGCCCATCATCCTCTTGAAGTAATTGGTGCTGCCAGGAGCAGATGCATCTCACTGTCATGAAAAGTCCTAAATTCTTGAAACACTTTAAATGTCATATTCTGTAGTCTTTGAAAGATTTGAAGTATCCCTATCCATCTGAAATACATCTCTGTACAACTAGAAAATCTAACATGACTACAAGCTTGACTATTATAGATGACTCTCAACCTATATTTCTTAATTATACAATACATTTTTAAATGAGCTGCACAATCACAATACCTTAATCAAGAGCAGAAATATATATACACACACTATAACAAAATTGACCTTAAATTTGTATCAGTAAACCAAAATCCATACCAATGCAAATCTTTATAGCATATCCCCCTTTAAATGTCAACAAACAGTTATAGACAATATCAACAAATTTTGATATATTCTGAGTATTGGATGGTACAAGTCTTTCCCCTTATATTGTCATTTCTGTCTTTCTTCCCCTCAGGATGGCTGTCAAATCCAGGACTTTACATATAATAGCAAGTGTTCTACCACTCTGAGCTGTGCATCCCAGCCCTCCATCTCTCTTTCTTCTCTTTTATTGTGTGTGTATTACTGTTGTGGTGGTGGTGGTGTTTTTAGACAGGGTTTCACTTTGTAGATTGGAACTTACTGTCTAGCCCAGGCTGATCTCAAGATTCATAGTCTTCCTGCTAAATTAGCCTTCCAAGTTTTGAAATTCAGGTGTGTACCACCCCATGGAGGCTGGCTTCACTTTTTGTTGTTGTTGTTGTTTGAGACAAGGTTTCTCTGTGTAGCCCTGGCTATCCTGGAACTCACTCTGTAGACCAGGCTGGCCTCAAACTCAGAGCTCCATCTACTTCTGCCTCCCGAATGCTGGGATCAAAGGCGTGTGCCACTACTGCCCGGCCACTTTTTTGATAGTATTTTATGAATCATGAAAGTTTGATTTTTGCCAGGCATGGCGGTGCCTGCTTACAACCCTGTCACTCGGGGAGCTGAAGCAGAAGAATCAGCCTGCGTTACCTGGAAAGACCCTGTCTCACACAGAAGGTTTTTAATTTTGATGAAAGCCAGTTTATTATTTTGACCGATTGCTTCTGGTTTAGATGTCACATCTGAGAATTACCTAACTCAAAGACACACTTATATATATTTTCTTGTAAGAGTTTCATAGCTTCAGCTCTTATATTGAGGTCTTTAGTGCATTTGAGGTAAGTTTGTAAGTGGTGGGGCTAGGTTTCCAACTTTATTCTTTTCCATGATTGGCTCCTTTTCACAGCACCATTTGTTGCAAAGACTGTTCTCTTAGCCCCCTGGAATGCGCTGGCATCCGTGTGAAAATGTGGTTGTAATGGCTTGGTTTGGTGACACCTGCTGACTCTGTTGTCTTGGAATGTCAGTGGGATTGGCATGGGATAGGTGAGAGCAGAGCTCTGGTGAACAGGCAAGTGCTTTGCATCCCAAGATCATTTCCATCAACCCAAACTGAAGGGCATTTACTCCATCTAAGCTGGGGGTGAGCTCAGGCCATCTTTGCGCTGCAGGCAGCCTTGTTGCCCTCTGAACCAGCATTTATCCGTAGTGTGCTTGTTCTGTAAGTGAAAGAGGAAATAACCAATAGTTTATTTTAAAAATGTAACTTGGATTCCCAGAAGCCTAGGAGAGGGAGGAGCAGTCACTAGCCAGGGCACATTCCAGAAGGCCCAGAAGTATACACATATGAGTGCAAAGGCAGTAATGTTGGTTCTCTGTGGTCCCTCGGAGGGGACAAGGGGACATTAGTAAGTTACACCCTTGGGCTTGTGCTCACCCTTCCACACCATGTGGGAAATCACCGAGCTCCGGCAGAGGTATTGGCTTCTCTATATCTAGGAAGCCTTTGAGGACCTTTGTACCTCACTATAGCCCTGGTGCCCCATGACTGTCCACTCTCTCAGAGAGCAGACTCTCAGTGCCTCAGCTCTTAGCTGTCGAGGAGCCCCACACTGAGGCTCTACCACAGGTGACACTAGGGGAGCCATCGTCCGCACACCCACATTTGGCCAACCAGATTCTCTAGACCCACACTGTTCAGTTGCTCAGCTCCCAGCTCCCACTCAATCTAATTCTCATTTCTGCTGTGTGAATGTGCCACCTGTGATGGGGCCCTCAGCTCACCGGCCGCCCACTGTGTCCCAAGTCCTGGTGTCAGTGAGGAGCGCCAGAGGAGGCCTGTGTGGGAGCTGAGGAATGGAGTGGGTGGTTAGAGTGTTGTTTGGTTTGGTTTTAAATTTCTATTCTTTTTTTTTTTAATATTTATTTATTTATTTATTAGGTATACGATATTCTGTCTGTCAGGCCAGAAGAGGGCACCAGGCCCCATTACAGATGGTTGTGAGCCACCATGTGGTTGCTGGGAATTGAACTCAGGACCTTTGGTAGAGCAGGCAATGCTCTTAACCTCTGAGCCATCTCTCCAGCCCCCTTAAATTTCTATTCTTACCACTGCTCCAGTAGCCGTGGACATCCTAGCCACCAACTTGTCACACAGGTTTGTTTGTTTGTTTAAAAATTTCTAGGGTATTGTCAGAATTCAGCAAAGCCCAGGTAAACTCCGTGCCGAGCAGCGGACCAAGCCAAGAGACAGAGACGGCCACCACGCTCCAGACCCCACTGTCCCTCCACAGCCTTGCTACACAGCTGCGCTTTGAGGGGCCTGCAGAGCTTCCAGCCCATGTTCCCTCTGGGACCCTAAGTGGTGGCCACAAGCATCAGCTGCTTCCCCAAGAGACCCCAGATGTGCAGCAGCTGGGCACTGCCCAAGCTGCCCCTGCAGAGAGCTCTTCAGACCAGCAGCCTTCTAGTCCTGTGGACCAAACAGCTGGTCAAGGGAGTGGTCAGCTGGCCCTGGAATGTGATGGATTTGGACCGAAGCTTGTGGTTTCCTCTCCTACCAGTCCGGTGAGTGTCAAGGCTGTTCAGGGGAGTCCCGGGAATGACTCAAAGCTGAAGTTTCCCCATCCGGCGACCAGAGTGGTTCTGCCATCTCCTTAGCTTCCTGTCCTGACTGGGGCAGTGTTATCAGCATGGTGATGATGAGCTAATGTGTCTTGGTGTGTCAGTAGTAGAGAGGAGCCGGGCATTGCACCCGATGGATTCCCATAAACATCTCTTGTCTTCACACCCAGTCCGTGAGGAAAGTGATTCCCATCTCATACCACACTCTGCTTGGATTTTGTTGTTTTGGTTTTTATTGTTTTTCTGGCAGGCACCATACACTGTTCAACCTCTGTTCTCAAGCTACCACCATCCACTCTGGGAGTGACTCCAAGTTTATACTCTTGGAGAAGCCGTTTCACCTGCCTAAGCTTTGGTTTTTACTACTTAAAATTAAATTTTTATAAGATCCTGAATATACTGAAATACCCTCTAAAAAATACTCATTTTTCACATGGCCCAGGTCGTGAACTTTGTGGTCAAATGTGGCCGTCACTAAACCAACAGTGGCTATTAGGCACTCGGATGTGTCCCAACCAGATGGCTCTGGTCATGCATGTATCTATAATCTCAGTGCTTTGAGGTGGAAGCAGGAGGTCTTGAATTGAAGGCTGCATAGTGAGATACAGTTTCTAAAAAAAGAAAGGAAGATGTGGCCAGTCTCGATTTAGGCGTGGTGTATAAAATAAGCACAGTCGCACTGACTTATTGGGTGCAGTTCACACCACATGGGAGTGTAATTCAGTGATTTTTGGTTTGCTTATGATTGTAGAGCTATCACTGCTATGTAATTTTAGAACATTTAAGTCACCCATTTAAAGAAACTTTATTAACGGTTATTCCCCTCAACCTCAGACAGCCACTGTTTGGTCTCCATAGATTTATCTGTTCTGGAAATTTCATATAAATGGAATAACATGTTTTTATGATTGGCTTCAGCTGTTTGTGTATGTGTGGAACTCGTAGGTTCCTGCTGCATACACGGGTGCTGAGGATCCTAAATTAAGTCCTCATGTTTGTGTGGCAAGCATTTTACTGACTGAGCCATCTTCCCATGTCCCTAAGCATGATGGTTTAAAAATTAATTCAGTTGAATATGATGGCTCATGTCTGTTAGCACACAGGAGGCAGAGGCAGGAAGATCATGAGGCCAAAGAAGACCCTATTTCAAAAATAAACCAATAACAGTGTTTGCCCACTGTGTCAGTTCTTCATCCCTGTTTCTGCTGAGTAATAAATACTCCATAATATTTTCCAGTGTGTGACTAAGTCATGTGATATTTATGTGTTGTTGGGCATTTGGGTTATTAATACTTTTTGGATACTACAAATAGTGTTATAAACATGGGTGTGCAAGATTTCTTATGGCCATGCTTTTAATTTTCTTAGGTACATAAAAGTCTATTAGTAGAATTTTTGGATCATATAGTAACTCTATTTTTAACCTTTTGTGGAACTGCCAAATTGTTTTCCAAAGCAGCTGGCCTAGTCTACATTTCCAGCAGTGCGTTTCTCAGCACCCCTACCGACAGCTGTAATTATCTGGTTTCAAACGGTTCTATTATTATAGCCATCCTGGCAGATGAGAAGTGGTAGCTCGTGGTGTTTTTAATCTCTAGGTTTTTGGTGATTAAAGAATGCCCTTTCATTTGCTTATAAAAGACCATATAAGCACCATAACATTCTATTTTTTTAATTTTTATTTTATGTGTATGAGTGTTTTGCATGCATGCATGTATGTATGTATGTACACTGCATGTGTTCCTGGTGTTCACAGAAGCCAGAAAAGGACATTTGATTCCCTGTTACTGGAGTTACAGATGGCTGTGAATCACCATGTGGGTGCTGGGAATCAAACCAGAGTCCTCTGGAAGAGCAGCCAGTGCTCTTAACCACTGAGCCATCTCTCCAGCCCATTTTTAAGTTGAATTCATGTGCTTTGGTTTTTGGGTTTTGTTCTGGTTTTGTTTTCTGATTTTTGAGACAGGGTCTCATTTAGCCAATGCTGACCTCATACTGATCATGTTCTAAGCCGAAAATGACTTTGCCTTTCTGATTCTCCTGCCTTCACTTCCCGTGCTTGGTCATGAGGTAGCAGTCAATTCGTTGTTTACTTACATCTATTAATTGAGTGTGTGTGTGCATGTGAAAGTGTATATGTGGCCACTTAAGTGTGCTATAGCACACAAATGGAGACCAGAGGACATCTTCTGAGGGTCAGTTATCTCCTTCCACCGTGTGGTTTCTAGGGATCAATCTCAGGTCGTCAGGTTTGGCTACAGATACCTTACCCACTTAGCCATCTCTCTGGCTTCAATTTATATTTTTCTATGTGGACATCTACTTGATCTACCTCAAAGTATTGACTCTGACTATGAAAATCATGTAATTCTATAACTGAGTCAGATTCTCTGTATTTACCCTTCTGAAAATGATTCCCGATTTACTCCTGGAAGATGCATTTTATGAGGCCTCAACTAGGCAATCATAAAGATGTGCCGAAGGTTGGAAGGTCTGCAGACAGGATGCTTTAAGAAGTGTGACCTTGACCTCATCACAGACATTGTGCCTAGTCAGAGTCCCAGAGATGATGGGACTGGGTAGCTGACCTCTCAACATAATCTTCCCCGTCCACAGAGTTGACCCTCTACTTCCTGTCAGCACCCTAGATAAAGCAAGTTCCTTATAGGCTCCAGCTTTTACAGTAACTGTCCCCAGTGCCTGGACCCTTCCTGACTCCCCTATACCTGGACCCTTCCTGACTGTCCCCTGTGCCTGGACCCTTCCCGACTGTCCCCTGTGCCTGGACCCTTCCTGACTCCCCTGTGCCTGGACCCTTCCTGACTGTCCCCTGTGCCTGGACCCTTCCCGACTGTCCCCTGTGTCTTAGTGCTGTCCCAGCCTTTTCTGCCCCCCAGGTCTGAAAAGCACCATCCCCGTGGCTGTCCTTATTATCTGTTCTACCTTATTTAGAAGGTAGAATTCATCAATCCCTCTTTGCTTGTCTTTTGTTGTTGGCAGGGTTAGTCTAGTCACCATCAAGCTTTTACAGCCCTGAGAACCATTCAGCCTTTCTTTGTCAAATGTTTGTTTATAATCATTCTGCACAAAGCATTGACTGTGAGCCAAGCACCATGATAGATGCTAGGGATGCAGTGATGAAACAGGACAGACAAGAGTCCTGGCCTTTGGGGTCAGCCACCAGATTAGACAACTGATGATGTACATTGTAATTACACTACAGCTAAGTGCTAGGGAGGAAGGGAGTGGGTAGCTCCTATGGGTGACTAAGCCTGGCCTAATCACTGTCCCACACACTGTGTGTTTGTGGCTTGGAATCCCCTCCTGCTGTTGTGCACACAATACATAATGAGGACAGCCTGAACAGAAAGTCCAGTCTGTCTGAAGATGATCCAGAGACAATTGCATCCCTTAACCATCGTCTCCTGGTATCTAATAGTGCAAGGCGGCATTCCTCTGGCTTGGATTCGTAATGGCAGATGCTGCTCTGATGTAGTTCCCAGGCCAGTAGTGATCTCCTTACAGTTTGAAGGAACATAGCTGACCAGATATGAGGCTCTAAGCAGGCAGACATGGGAGGTGGCAGAACGAGGCAAGAGAAAAGGGAAACACATGGTGATCATGTGATTGCCATGATCCATTATTGCTCAGGTATTCTTTCTCTGTCCCGCCCCATGAAGCAGATACACCCTCAGTGCTCCCTCAATGGGACCTGCCCCACTGTTTTCCGTTGTTGTTTGAGAGGAACAGAGCCTTTCTCTAGAGAATCATCTCCCGGTGGCTGCTTTGAGGTCAGGGGACTCTGAACATTTCTTAGTAGTCTCCCTCTCCACCCCCTCCCCCCCCACACACACAACACAGCACACGAACCTATGAATCCACAGTTGTCTCCATCCCTCCTGGTCCTTCCACCCACCTCTGTTGTTTTGCAGTGAAGGCAGTTGGGTAGTCAGGAGTTCGTCCTTTAGACCAGAAGATGGCTCAGTGAGTCAAAATACCTGCCCCACAAGTCTAGCGCCCCGAGTTTCATCACTGGAACCCTAATAAAGGTGGATAGAGAGAACTGACTCCACGGAGTTGTTCACACTCTTGTGCAAATGAAAGGTCTCCTATCTTTTATTGACTCAATGCCCTGCATTTTTGCTTGACATTATCAAGAAAAATGATATTTGGGAACAGCCTTACAGGATGGAGGTGAGCAGGTTTCACTGAATAGGGTGGTACGCTGCCTGGGAGATGAGAGGATGTGAGCAGGGGGCTTCCTGTCGTGAGAGGTGACCCCTGGTGGAATCCTAAGGGATAGAGCCCTCTCCTCCTGGGGCTTGCACAGGGCAGGATCACCAGGTGTGTGTGAGGTCACCAGGATGGCCATGTGGCTCCTGGCAGCTATTCCTCACACCCATTTTCCTTGGGGAATCATCTGGGTCTTGGTGACCCAGACATTCTTTGTTTAGACCAGTTTTGCATGGTCCCTAGCAGCCACGCTTCTGACACATCATCCTGTCCCTAGTGGAAGGAAGCACCTGCCATCTCTGAAAGTCACATGAAGAGGCCCTGGGGGCCCGGTTCTGGAGCTCCCCCCAGTGCCTGAATCAGAACTTGCCTCTTTGCTTCAGGAGTCTTGTCACATCTGAATGCACTAAACTGTCCAGACCAACCCTCTGACACAGCCCAGCCTGAACCCGCCTCCCCGTCTGCATCAGCAGGGAAGGCAGTCTTGATTTAGGGGTTGGAAATAGCAATGTCAGAGTGAGATTGGTAGAACTTAACAGAGCAGTGGGGCGAGCCCTGCCCTTGGGTGACTCATTTCCTTTGTATAGACAGTCAGTGCAACCAGCCAGCTTCCTTGCCTCTGCTCTTTCATGTCCCAGCGTAGAAAGGCAGAAAGGCTTACAGTAGTGAAAAATAGGAACTGAACAATATTCTCACAGGCTGACTGGCTCCAGATATCCCCAACTTCCCCTGTCAGTGAACAGACTCACGTTGTAGATGGGGGGAAGGGGAGGGGAAGGACCTCCCTGCTAGGGGCTACAAGAACCTTCTCAATGTGGGGAGCAGAATTAGAAGCAATAATTTGGGACTAAACCCCACACACCACACCTCCCTCATCCCAAATCTCCAAGACCAAAGAGCCTGAAGTGCTGGTACCCCTGTATTTCCCCTGCAAGAGAATCAAGCTGCACCCCTTCCTTACATCTCACACAGAAGTTGACTCAAAATGGGTCACAGAGCTGTAAGAGCTAATAAAGCTCTCAGCAGAAACGTAGGAGTAAATCTTGGTGACATTAGTTTCAGCAGTGGCTTCTGAGATAAAGCAGCAGGAGCTCAGACAGAAGGAAAACTGGCTAAATTAGGCTTGAAATTGAAACATCTCTGCGCTCCAGAAGGCACCACTAAGAAGGAAAACAGACGCTGGGCATAGAGGCTTGTGCCTATAGTTCTAGTGCTTGAGACAGTGAGGCAGGAGGGCCGCACAAAGCCAGCCTGGGCTATGTAATGACCTCGAGATCAACCTTGGCTGTAGACAGTATCTCAGACAGAGGGGAAGGGAGAGGGATAAAAAAATAAAAGATAGCATAGAATAGAAGAAATTATTGTCTAATCAGATAGCCCAGTACAGTTCTGGTGTCCAGAATCTGCCCAGAACTCTTGTCATTTTTATTGTTTTCCCAAAACAGCTGTAACAGAGTACCACAAATTAGATGACATAAGACAGCAACTGTGTGTTCCTCAGTAGTACTAGAAGCCAGGCCCAGAGCCAGATGTCTGCGGGCTTGGTTCCCTCTGCAGATGCTGAGGAGGAACCTCTGCCCTGTCTTCCTTAGGTCTTAGTATTCTTGGTGTTCTGTGACTTGTAGGTGCACCCCTCCACTCCCTCCCTCCATGATCCCATGCTTCTCCCTCCTCTGTGTCATCTCCTTTCCTCTTTGGTTTTGAGCCAGGGTCTAGCCTGGAACTCACTGCAGATCAGGCTGCCCTGAACTCGTAGAGATCTGCTTATCTTTGCTCCAGAGTCCTGGGAATGGTGTGTGCCACTGTGTCTCCTCTTGTGAAAACATCCGTCGTGTTGGATGAAGTACGTGTGCATCTGAACTAATTATGTTTGCAAGGACCCTGTCTAGAGACATCACATTCTGAGGCTTAAGATTTCAGCAGGTCTTCTGGGGCTGAGGCAGAGGTCAACCCTAACAACAAAGCCATAAACCCAATTCAAAATAAAAATCCAAAGAAAAGATAGAGATCACCAATATGGAAAGATGTTCTCTTGCCATTAGGCATTAAGGAAATGCAAATCAGAACTGCAGTGAGAACACTGCACAGGTCAGCATGGCAGGAAGACATAGTGGCAGAGGTTGGAGAGTTTAGAAGGAAGCTGTTGGGCTGGCGAGTGCTCAGCAGGTGAGTAAAGGAGCCTCCCACTCCAGCCTGACAACCGAAGTGTGATCCCCAGAGCCCACATAAAGATGGAAGGAGAAAACCGGCTAAAGTTGTCCTCTGGCCTCCATGTGCCCCCACACCAATATCCGCTTCATGCAGTGCAGATGGGAATGTAAAATGGTATAGCCAAAAGCAGCATGCTAGTCTCAGTTAAATATGGAGTTTAAGCATAACCTGTCCGAGACAGGGGGCTTGGGAGATAGACACGTCTGTTAGTGGGTAGAGGGTTTGTTTGGTTTGTGGGTGGTGAAAATATTCCAAACTTAGAGATACATATACGTCTCTGTGAGTATACCAAAGACATGGAGTTGCACACCCACTTTTAAGTTGTATTTTATCTAGGAAAGTGTGTATGAGCGTGCACTTGCTCACGGAGGCCAGAAAAAGGCAACAGATTCACTAGAGCTGGAGTTACAGGAAGTTGGGAGCCACCCAGTGTGGGCGCTGGGAACCAAACGTGGGTCCTTTGCAATAGTAACAAGTGTTCTTAACTCTTGAGCCATCTCTCCTGCCCCATATTTTTAATTTTATTATATGTGAACTGTAAGAAAATATTTTTAAAGCTCTTAAAAGACTGCCTCATTCCTTTTTCTTACAGAAAGGCAAGAGCTGGATTTCTGAAGATGACTTCTGCCGACCTCCCCAGGAGCATGCTCCCAAGAGTGCTTCTGATGGCGCCACCTCTCCAGATGGGACTCCAGAGTCACGGCCTGCTCTCCACAGGTGTTTTTCTCAAGGACCAAGAAAGAGCTGTTCCCTGGGGGCCTTAGACAAAGCAGGTGTGCCTTCACCAGACTGCAGGAATGCCAAAGCAGCCCCGGCGTCCGTGCTGGCACAAGATCATAAAAATTTCTGTGTGGTGCATCGGAGGCAGATGGGTAGGTGTCTCTAGAGAGTCCCATCCCCAGGGACAGTATCTTTCAAAAGACAGCTCTCAGTCCTCTTAGCCATTGCAGACAGGTAGTGTGTCCATCCAGGGTGTGGAGGCAGGAAAGCACTTCCGGGAAGGTGCCCCACTCCCTCACACAGTCCTCTGGAGCAGCGGCAGAACTGCCCACGGGTGCTGCGCTCAGAACACTCAGCAGCACCAGCCAGCCAGGCCACCTGTGCCTCAGAGAAAGAAGAACAAACAAAAGGCCTGATTACAAAATGTAATTTTTTTTTTTTTTTGAGGCACGGTCTTGCTCTATAATCCTGGCTTGCTTAGTGCTTAATGTGTAGCTGAGAATGGCCCCAAATTCACACCATCTCCGTGTGTTAGCCTCTGCGTGCTGGGATTTCAAGTGTGTGCCACTCCTCCTGGTTTATGTCATATACTGAAATGGAACTATTGTCAGTGACGTTTAGGATAGCAAAGCCTACCCACCATTTCAGCTGCTCAGCAGGTAGAGGCAGGAGGATCTCAATTTCATAGGACACTGAATGAGTTCAAGGCCAGCTTGGGTCTCTTAACATAACCTTATTTCAAAAAAGTGAAATGATATACTGGGGATATAGCTGAGTGATCAAACACTGACCTGAGGTGTGAACCCTGGGTTCAGTCTCCAGTACTGTGGAAAACGAAACCAAGACGTTTAGGATGGCAGAGAGCCCGCAGACTCCTTCCATAACTCAGAGGAGAACCTGCCCTTGAAGGCCAGCTGGATCCTTCTAAAGGCCTTTTATCTGGATGGTTGAGGGAGCAGCCCTAGCAGCTTTATCAGACCCGGGGTGCGGTTTAGCCCTCCATGTATTGTTTATGGGATGGCTTGAACTCCATGCCCTGAGAATTCCTAACAGCATTAAGTAACCCTCGCTTAATTTTCAGCAACCCTCAAAATGTTTAGGTTTGGGGTTGGTTTTTTTTTTTTTTTTTTTGGTTTTTCAAGACAGGGTTTCTCTGTAGCTTTGGTGCCTGTCCCGGAACTAGCTCTTATAGACCAGGCTAGCCTCGAACTCCCAGAGACCCACCTGCCTCTGCCTCCCGAGTGCTGGGATTAAAGGTGTGCGCCACTACCGCCCGCCCGGCTAGGTTTGGTTTTTGTTTGTTTGTTTTTCTGAGACAGGGTCTCACTTTGTAGCCCTGGCTGTCCTGGGACTCACTACGTAGACCAGTCTGGCTTTAAACTCACAAGATCCACCTGCCTCTGGTTATAGGCCTGTGCCACCACACCCAGCTGGTTTTGTTTTGTTTGGTTTTGTTTTGAGACAAGATCTCACACTGTGCACAGGTTGGCTGAAACTCAGCTGCTCATCCTGAGTTAGCCTCAGATTTGTCACAGTCCTCCCGTAGCTTCTTGAGTGCCGAGATTAAAAGCATGAGTCACCGTCCCTCCAGATTCACTTGAGGTTGGTTCTGTCAGTCATTTTCTGATGGGAGGCCATCAGCAGAGGACTTGGGCTTGTCTTTCATGGCTAACTGTAGTCTCTAACCACAGAGAGTCAGGGCTTAATGTGCCGGCTGTTAGGTTCCCTGACACGCTAGTCCAGACGGGAAGAAAGAATCGTGTCTTTTAGACTCCTGCTTGGGAGTAGTTCTGGGGCATAGGGAACAAGGAGCAGCATGTGGTGCACAGGTCCTCACTCACCTACCTAACCACATACTCATGCAGGAGGTATTTCTCTGCTCTGCCCAGCTCTGCCCAGCACTTCCCAGCACTGCCCTGGGTGCTGAGAACAGTGTCCTAGCTTCCTGAAGCTTCCTCCCCACCCTTCCCCCATCAGAATGCAGGAAAATTGACCGGTAATTGTTGTGTGGTCAAGTGGTGATGATCGGAACTATCCATAGTGACCAGAGGGAGAGGAGCCTTGCTAGAGTTTGACCAAGGCCATCCTCACAGATGAGGTGACGCTCAGGGTGAAGGGAGCATGGAGTGATCTGCATTTCAAGCCGGGAGGGAGAAGGTGGTAAATAGCGCCCTTCTGGGAACATGCTTGACATGTCCAGGGAACCATGGAGAGCAGAGTAGATGGCAGTGGTGGTGGTAGTGTGTAAGATGAGGCGTATGGAACCGAGGACCGAAGGAAGTACTTGGGCTTTTGTTCTGAGCATCTCATGACCCGGCTAATTTAAACATTTATTATTTTATTATTATTTACTTATGTGTGCATGTGTTCACAGAAATCCCTGAAAGCACGTGAGAACAGCTAGGAGGAGGGTATTCATGGAGCTGAGGCACAAGTACTGAGTCCCAAGTGCTCCAGGCTTAGGTGGTCAGGGGAGATGAAGGCTAGAAATGAGGGCTTTATGGAGGCTTTTTTGGATTGACCACAAGGTAGGCTTTGGTGGCCACAAAGGAGCAGCTGTAATAGCATGAGGAGATGAGACCCTAATGGGACCAGGTTCAAGAAGGAATGGGAGCGGGGAAGCTGGAGGCAGATGTGGGTGATTCCCCAGTGTTTCGGGAAAGGAGACCGAGAAGCAGGGTGGCAGTTAGAGATGGGAACCGAGAGAAATGGTGTCTGAGCGTGGAAAGAATGATGACAGCGTGTGGTGACAGGAAAAACAGCGTGTGGTGACAGGAACGACAGCGTGTGGTGACAGGAACGACAGCGTGTGGTGACTGACAGGAACGACAGTGTGTGGTGACTGACAGGAACGACAGCGTGTGTGGTGACAGGAACCACAGCGTGTGGTGACAGGAACGACAGCGTGTGTGGTGACGACAGGAACGACAGCGTGTGGTGACGACAGCAATGACAGCGTGTGGTGACGACAGCGTGTGGTGACAGGAACCACAGCGTGTGGTGACAGGAACGACAGCGTGTGTGGTGACGACAGGAACCACAGCGTGTGGTGACGACAGCAATGACAGCGTGTGGTGACGACGGCAACGACAGCGTGTGTGGTGACAGGAACGACAGCGTGTGGTGACAGGAACGACAGCGTGTGGTGACAGGAACGACAGCGTGTGTGGTAACAGGGATGACCCAGTAGAGAGAGGAGGAGAACTGCTGGAGAGATGGCCTTGAGTGGGTGGAGGCAGTGCAGTGAGGAGGCCCATGGAGGAGTCTTTTCAGTGAAATGTTGGAGGGGAAGTCACCAGCTGTCGGGACGGCAGGAGGAGATGTGCAACACTCCTGGCTTTCAGGATCTCATCTGAAAGTGCTTGGGGCCAGCTTCTAATGGCAGTCACTCTCCCATGGAACAATATTGGGCATCGATTTTGGCTTTGAATTGAATTGTAAAGATCGCAAAGGACAGATTCACACTCTGAAGTGCCTCTTTTCTTCCACTAGGCCTATCGAACCCGTTCCGGGGCCTCATGAAACTGGGCACAGTAGCCCGGCGAGGGGCCATGGGCATCTGGAAGGAATTCTTTTGCGAGCTGTCTCCACTGGAGCTCCGCCTCTACCTGAGTGATGAGGAGCGCACCTGCGTGGAAAGCTGCTCCTTGCTACGATGTGAGGCCGTGGGGCCAGCCCACAGCGATGGACGGTTTGAGTTGGTCTTCTCTGGCAAGAAGCTGGCACTGCGAGCCTCCTCCCAGGATGAGGCTGAGGACTGGCTTGACCGTGTGCGGGAAGCCCTGCAGAAGGTGCGTCCTCAACAGGAGGAGGAGTGGGTGAATATCCAGTACCCAGACCAGCCGGAGGATGCCCTAGAGGCTCCACCAGACAACCTCCCCCCTCACTCAGCCCTGCTCCCAGAGCCTGCAGCTGCCCAGGGCATGCAGTTGGACTGGACATCTGCCCAGGTTCCGGAGCCAGATGCTATCAAAGAGTCCCTTTTGTACCTGTATGCAGACCGGACCTGGGTCCCCTATATTTTTTCCCTGTCCTTGGAGTCTCTGAAATGTTTCCGTGTGAGAAACAATGAGAAGATGCTAAGTGATAGCCATGGAGTGGAGACCATCCGAGACATCTTGCCAGACACCAGCCTTGGAGGCCCAGCCTTCTTCAAAATCATCACAGCCAAGGCCGTCCTGAAACTACAGGCCCAGAACACTGAGGAGGCTGCCCTGTGGAGAGACCTGGTCCGAAAGGTGCTGGCATCTTACTTGGAGTCAGCAGAGGAGGCTGTGACGCTCGGGGGCAGTCTGGATGAAAACTGCCAGGAGGTGCTGAAGTTTGCCACCAGGGAGAACGGCTTCCTGCTACAGTACCTTGTGGCCATCCCCACTGAGAAGGGCCTTGACTCCCAGGGCTGCTTCTGCGCAGGTGCTGACCGACTCTCCCACCAACCCCAGCTGGATATGCTCTTCCTCCTCCTGTGGGGTCCTCAGTTTGGGCTCCCCACCAGGGCCTTCATCCTTCCCATAAATGATACAGCAGATGGCGCCTACGCTGTGGCCTCGGTTCCTCTACAGTGCCCTCTGTGGACAGCCCCCTGCCATGTCACTTGACACCTCCTACTGTTGGGTGGACCTGTGGGTGGCAGTCCTGCTTCCTGAGCCCTTCTGTCCTTCCTGCTTTATACTTTTGCTGCACTGAATATACTTTTGTTACAGGGTACAAGAGCCTTCCAAAGCACGTATACTTGCATACTCTGATGAGTTGTGCTGTCCAGTGCTGTCCAGTAGGGCTTCTGTAATGATGCAAGCGTCTGGGGCTGTGCTTTCCAACCGTAGTTGCAGTACATATGAAAGTATGACTGTTCATAACTAAGAAATGAGTTTTACATTCATTTAAGTATAAAAGCGACCTCTGACTTTGAGCCACTGTGTTGGGCAGTATATTGCTCCACAGTTGGAAGGCTTATCCTCCCCTCACACCTCATGTAGCCCAGGCTGGCCTTGAAATTGTTATGTAACTGAAAGCGACCTTAAACTCTTGGTCCTCCTGCCTCCTAAGTGCTGGGATTGTAGGCCTGTGCCATTGTGCTCCCCCCCATTTCTTCCTGGTTTCATTTGTTTGTTTGTTTGTTTGAGATGCAGTCTCACTACGCAGCCCCAGCCGCCTCAGCCTCCCAAGCAGTGGGGGTTACAGGCATTTGGCGTCACACCTGGTTGGCTTTTCCGTCCTTTTCACGGATGTGTATCAGTCTATGTGAAGGATTCTGCTGTGTCAGCATCATCGTGAGAGGGAGCTGATCTGAACCTGTGCAGGGCACAAGGCCAGAGGCTTTGTTTGGATTATCTCATTTTTTTCCATCAGTATATCCTTGTAGCGTTAGGGGCTACATTTTCTCTCGGTTTAGTATTGGTGAAGAAACTGGAATCCAAAGCTAGTATCTTGTCTCTGGCTCTTAGTATATGCAAGAGGCAGAATTGGACTTTGATGATTGTGTCCTGTGCACATGGGCGTGACACCAGAGGGCCTCCCAGTGGATGTTCCGCTGTCTGCCTTCCGTTGGTACCTCCTCCTGTTGGTACTTGTTGTCCAGGGAAGATGTCAACTGCCCTGTTACAGAAGAATAGAGTAGAGCTTCCCGTGGGGTGGAGTCCACAGGACCATAGAGGAAAGCCTGCTTCAAGTGCTTGGAAGGAAGTGGTCTGTGGCAAGCCCCTGGAGGGTGGGTGAAGTGGCTGAGCAGAACTTCCTGCAGAAAACACCTGCAAACCTCTGCCTGCCCTAGCACTCACACTCGCTCCTGTGGGGGAGACTCCTGTCTGTGGGCGTGAGCACTGTGGCTGTCACCTGCCAGCCTCCCATCTGAGACCTGTGAACCCAGGGAGTTCAGGCTTTCTACACTGCCGTACTGGCAGTGGCTGGGAGGATGCCAACCAATGATATTCGTGTTTGAGCTCATAGTTTACAGGGCACTTGTATTGTTTACACTTTGTCGTGACCTCACAAAGTGCTGGCAGTAGCTAAGCTCTACAGTGAAACAGAATCTTAGGAAAGTTAGGAGAAGGTCAGGAGGAGGCAGCTGATCAGGAAAGCAGCTTATTGGTCCTGAGACCAAAGTCACCCTTTCCTCCCGTGCCAGTGGGAGTTGGGGGGTATTCAAGCATGTAAGTTGAATGCTAGTGTTTTGCCCTGGGCACTCCTGACTCTCGCTACCCTCTGGTATGGAGAGATTACTGACCAAGTGACTAAGTTATCACTGCTCACTGTCTTGAGCTAAAGTTACTGTAGGCTCAAGCAGACACCATGTCATGTCTAGGCCACGCTGTTCCTGCTGGCTTCCTCATCTTCTGTGACCGGACCTCTGTCCACAGGTCCGGCACTGCTGGTCAAGGTTCTAGCTTTGCTCTCTTGTGTCTAAGCACCAGGGAGAGGCAGGAGTACAGGCTGGCATCCGGAAGCAGGCAGCGGAGCCAGTGAACAGAGGTGCCTATGGAGAATGCTGGCTTTGTGACCAACCAAGCCCAAATTTGAGTGCCGCCTATCCCTTAGTCTTGATGTGACCTGACAGATATCTTCCTATGAGTTTGTTTTGAGACAGGTTCTTACTATGTGACCCTAAACTGACCTCAAACTCAGAATCCTCCTCCCTCATTCCGAGGGCTCCCAGACCCAGCAATTATTGTTTAATAGTATGCTGTCATGATCAACAGTTTCTCCAAGGGTGATGGTGCACCCGGTGCAGGCCTTTAATCCCAGCACTTAGAAGGCAGAAAGCAGGCAGGTCTCTCTGAATTCAAGACCAGCCTATTCTACATACATCTCAAAAAAAAAAAAAGTTTTGATTTTAAGTAACAGAAATACAAGTGACTTTTTTTTTAATTGCATATTTATTGAGAGAAGAGGTCAGAGGACTCAGTTCTACCATGTGGGTTCCAGAGATAAGACTTTAGTATCAGGCTTGGTGGCAGGTGCCTTTTCCCACTGAACCATCTTGCCAGCCCGTGAGTGACTGTCTTCCCTTTCCCACTGTAGCAGATTCCATGGTACATGAAGCTGACTCTGGCCCCACTGCTCACTTCCCACTGTCCCTTCCCTAGGCTGCTCACGGCAGATCGGCTTCTCCTTTGTGCGACCCAAGCTCTGTGCCTTCTCTGGCCTGTATTACTGTGACTTCTGCCACCAAGACGATGCCTCAGTGATCCCAGCCAGAATCATACACAACTGGGACCTCACCAAGCGCCCGGTAAGTGTCTAGGACAGGCTGTCATTGCCCGCGTGGAGCTGCTGGGTGACTGGGAAACATTATCCCCTAGGCTGCCTGTTGGTTTGGAGGACTTTGACCGTTGGGGAGCCGGAGTCACCAGTTCAGGCCCCGAAAGCCTGGTGTCTATCTGCAGTCCCTGAACAGGGCTTTGTAAAACTCTGCCTTGGTCCCCAGTGTCCCTCAGGACAGTTCCCTGAAGCTAAGATAGCAACAGAGTTGTTGAAGGTTGCTCAGTGGGAAAGTTAGGCTAGAGTAGGTATGGCACACTGGTGGATGGGTGGATGAACATACAGATGGGCTAGCCAGCAGGCTGCACCCCTGACATAGCTTTGCCTGTGCTGATGAGCTGGGAGGACAAAGCATTTTTCTAGGTCATACAGTATCGTTATTGTTTAACACCTACAACTTAGAGCGCCCCAAAAGGACACATCAAAATTAGGTGTTACTGTCGAAGATAGCCACATTCAGAGCTTTTAACAGTGTTTTCAGCTGTAAAATGGCCATGCTCGTTTTTAGAGTATTTGTTTTAGAGAATATAAGCATCTGGACTCCCCTTGCTTCACCACACTTTGTTTATTTAACATTATGTCTTGGGTACCTTTTCATTACTGTATGTGTACACACGACATGTGCACACACCCGTCTGTTCTTCCTTCCACCACGTGTGTCCTGGGGATTGAACTGGCTCATCAGACTTGACTGCAGACACCTTTACCTACTGAGCCCTCTTGATGGCCCTTGGGCACCTTTATCGTGTATACTTCTGAAGGAGATTGATTGCTTGCTTGTGATAGTCTCTTAGTACCTGTCAACTGTGCCTTTCTGTCCTCACAGCTTGTTACACTTTAGTCCCTAGGGCCACTTATCCAGGGTCTTTCTCCAGGGGAACAGACTTAGCTTTCTCCCTAGGGCATGGACATAGAAACACAAGGAAAGAGCCATTTGCTTCTGTCAGAGCCTGTGGGCTGCAGTCTTGACTTTGACTGTGCCCTACCATACAGGAATGGTGACTCTGAGTTAGTTTCACCCCTGTGGTGAGGGGAAACCCCAGCATTGGCTTTGTTTTGGCCTTCTGTTGTTGATCTTGTCTCCACCCCTGCCCTCAGTATTAACTGGTCCACTACATAGAGGAGGGTACACCTCAAAATTCAGAGATGCACACGAGCCCTTTGACAGTAAACACTTAGCACTGCTAGCCTGGTGCGTCTAAGGAGCTCCCCATTCACTGCTGGAGTCTGCCTCATCTTGCCCCGCTCTGGGACATGGCAGTCCTGTTCTAGATGCTTCTGGGACCAGGAAAGCTCTCCCTCAGCGATCACTGGCCTGGGAAAGACAGGGAAATTCAAAGTAGAGAGTAGTTGGCCCAAGGGGTTGGGACTTCATTGTTTGCTGCCGCTGCGCTGGCTGACCCACTTGTGCTGAGATCCAGCTGGCACCTGGCAGAACGTCACCCCAGGGCCGGCATTCTGCCTTGGCCTGTCTCTTCCATGCCCCAGGATACAAACAGCCTCTGGGGAGCATGAAGGCCCGTGTGCAGGGCTGGGCAGTGTTTAGCACACATTGCTGGCTGTTGTTTCAGCTGAGCCAGAGACTGGGTTGTGGGAAAAGCTAGGCTCAGTCTAGAGGGCAGCACTTTAATCCCAGTCCTCAGGGTTTGCTACCGGGCTTTGTCCAGACTGGGGGATGTTACCTCAGGGCTCTGGCACATGGGAAATGCCGTTATAGCTTTTAGGCTAATCTCATGAAGTGTGCTTTGATTTTCCTGTAGCAAACTTTAGCTCTTGGCCACAGAAGACTGAGTTTATGGCAGCCCCATGAGAAAGACGACGCCTGTTGGCCTCTGCCATCCACAGGCAATTGGATGAGCCACTTTCGCGTCTCTGAGGCTGTTTCACCATCTGTAAAATAGGCACTGCCGCCCCCCCAGGGACGGTTCTGAAGATGCGAGGATATAGAGGAATCACTTATCTCCAAGTGGAGATGCTGGCAGCTGAGACCCTCTAATATTATCCTGAAGTACTGGCGAGAGCTGAGGGCACTTAGGAGGTCATGGAGCTCTGTCTGCTCTGTAGCTTCCTGTCGCTGGAGCTTGATGGCAGCGGAGTCACCTGGTTCCTGAGTTAGGGCCCAGAGGACAGCATGTTTCCTGTAGGCAGGAAAAGGGGGCTGGGAGGACAGGAAAGTGTGGAAAGAGTCTGTGAGGCCCATGGGGAGGGACCCCTCCCTTGCCTCAGCATGGTCAGAATCAGACAACAACAGGGTTTGAGACTGCTTTCAGATGTTGACTAGACGGTTTTCTGAGCTGTGTGACCTTGGTCAAGTGGCCTCAATTCTCTGGCCTTATTTCCTGCTCTGTAACTTGAAGAAAATACCATTCAGTGAGGACAGGCTGCAGGCAGGTTTGAACTAGGTAACTCAGCATCCAGCCAGAAGCCTTAACTGAGCAGGCAAGGTCTTCCTTGGATTTTCTCAGGTCTGCCGGCAGGCCCTGAAGTTCCTGGCACAGATCCGGGCCCAGCCCCTTATCAACCTGCAGCTGGTAAACGCCTCTCTGTATGAGCATGTGGAGCGCATGCACCTCATTGGCAGGAGCCGGGAACAGCTGAAGCTTCTGGGGGACTACCTGGGCCTGTGCAGAAGTGGTGCCCTGAAGGAGCTGAGCAAAAGGTGAGCGGTGAGCACTCTGTGTGCGCATACACCTGTGTGTACACACACACCCACCAAAGCCTGGGCAGGGTGTGCACTTGGGAGATGCCAGAGCTGAGCTGGGAACTTCCCGCTGGCCATGAAATCACTGTGTCCTCTGAGGGTGGTGTGCGGTTTTGCTGTATGTTCACTTGTTCCTTTGTTCAACAAACGTTTATTGAGAGCAACCATTCCGAGTGCCTGTGCTGAGTGAAGCAGACCCGAGGCCTCCCTTCAGGAAGCCACTGATGTGGCAGGAAGCAGGCGAGCCAGCAGCACCTCCAATGGGGGCAGAGGGAGGGAGAGAGGAAGGATGTCCAGATGTGCATAGGGGACAGGAGGACGCATCAGAAGGGCTTCCTGGAGGGAGCAGCTTCTGAAATGAGACCTGAAAAGTAAATAGAAGTCACCTAGGGAAGGAGGAGAAGAGGAAGGCTGGCTGAGGAGTGGCACACGCGGGCGATGGAGGAAAGCACCAGGCATGGAAGGTTCAGGAAGTGCTTCGACTGAAGAAGGAATGGAAGTGGGCAAAGTGGTAACCGGTAGAAGCGAGAAGGATGCTGGCCTGGCTCATCCCCTGGCTGCTTGCTTTGGCAGCGTTCCTCTCTGGATCATCTGCAGCACGTACAATAGCTGCACTCTCAGGACACCCTCTAGAAACCCCTTCCTCCCCAGAGCCTAGATCTTTTAGTGCTTAGGGATGGGAAGTGGGACTTCAGGAGAGTCTGATAGATCTCTGTGACTGCCTCGGGCATCTTTATAGCTAGATGTGGCTTCTGAGGGGCTGTATTCTCTGGGGAGCCCTCGAGAGGGCAGGCCTTTGGGAGGAGTGAGGTGCGCTGCATAGTATGGACTTTGTGTCTGCTTTGCTGGCTCTCTGGAGACTGGAGGCGTCTACGGGCTGTCCTTCCCCAGCCTACTTCCCCAGAGGCCAGCACAGAGAGCACTGTCTGAGCAGGTCTTCTCAGTTCTCCCTGAGGCATGCCTGCACTGTGCCTTGAGGGAAGGCATGTCCAGTGATGGTTCCCTGACTCTTGGGCAGGACAGAGGGGAACACTGGCCCTCTTCTGCCCAGAACAGCCAACAAGCCCCATCAGAGCTTTGCCTCCTTCCACAGACAGCCTTCCTGGGAGCTCTGCCTCCTAAGATCAGCACAGTACGTGGGTCTCTTTTCCATGAAGTTGACCCATTTTCTCTTTTCAGGGATTTCAGAGGCAACGGCTCCAAAGAATGTGTACACCTGCCCAGAGGCAAAATCTCTGGGTGGGAGAAAAGTCCTTCTCTGGCATCCTCTGTGTAAATGGGTGACTACGGCATGGCCCATGGGTGCTGGCCCCACTTGTTCCCGGCAGCCTCTGATGGGTGCTCGGGCAGCCTGGCTTGTGCGAGTCCTACTTTATGTTTATACACACATGGGATATGTGTGCGTGGGGGATGGGAAGTAGCATACACCCATGCACATGAACGCAGAGGCCAAAAGGCTGTCCTGCTCATTTGCTCTTTGTCGTATTCATTGGAGACTGTCTTTCACTGAGTCTGGAGCTCGCCATTTTTTGTTTAGACTGGCTGACCAGTGAGTCCCATCGATCCTCCTGTCTTTGTCCCCTACAATACTGGGGTTGCAGCCACATCCTAGTGTTTTACATGGGTGCTGGAGAATTCTAACTCAGGTTCGCATTTCTGTGCAGCATTCTTTCCCCCTGGAAGTCCCTTTTAGATAGAGTACAGAGCAAGGGAGGAGTGTAGGAGCAGCCTGTGCCCAAACTAGACCACTGTGTGACTCCAGGAAGTATCTTTGGTGCTCTGAGCCTGTGTACCCATCCGTAAGATGGATCACTGGTCTTGGTTATATGGCCTTCCTGAGTTGTGGAGAGGGCCACATGATACACTCAGTGTCTGGGCCTTAATCAGCCATAGGCAGGCAGGCAGATAGCTAGGTAGTAATATATGTGTCCTGAGGAAGGGGACCCAAGCCAGCCTGGGCAGGAGGAGGGGGAGGGCTAGGAGGCTGGGAAGCTCCCAGGAAGATAGTGGGCAGAGGAAAAGTGGGGTTTATATGAAACAGGTGAAACCCCTGGCCACCCATGCAAGTCTCCCCATCACCTGACCTTGGCAGGGTCCCTGCCTCCTTCCCTAGCCACCCAGAGCACTGAGAGGGGTCTTCTCATTGTATAGGGAAAGACACTGGGGCCCAGCACAGGCTGTGTCCATCTCTGTATATACCCTCGACCAAACCTTACAGAAAAATCAGTTGCAAGGCCACACTGACAGGCAAAGGGTACAATGAGTGACTCCCCTGCTGGCTCCTCAGACTGGACAAAGGGAAGACAACAGGGATAATCTCCATTAAATCAACTCCGCCCTTCCTGCCAACTCAGGCTCAGCCTTTGTGCCCCCTCCCATGTTTTCCTGGCTCTAAATGACAGCTTCCTGTTCCCAGAAAGCTGGAGGCTCTCTGGGGGCAAATCGGAGTCCTCCCTTTACTTGGCTGTGTAGGATTCAGCATCCTAGGCCCAGATTGGGCTCCCTGTGGATCATAACTAGAGTGTGGCCAATCACCCAAGGGCTGGCACTGTCCTGTCCTAGTGTCCAGAGTGTCCAGATAGGGCCCCACACTTCCCCAGCTTGGCATACCTTCACACCAGTACACACATGTGTGGCCATCCGGGCTTTGTGCCAGGGATTCTCTGCTCAGAATGTGACCTGGGGACCCTGCCGTTGAACTGTTAGGAACCTGAGCAGAGCTGTGTCCTGCCTTCATCTTTTTCTCCTCAACCTGAAATTAGATCTGCTTTGCCTAGAGTATGAATCAGTTCCTCTCAGAGGTCAGGGAAACCAGATGCTTGAACGTGACCTGGGGGGAGGGGGCTGCGTCCATGATTTTCTGTCCTCAGAACTGTTTCAGTACTGGCACTGACTCAATGGAGGGGATAAGAATACAGGCCAGACTCCTGCGTCAAGTTCAAGCTCTGATTCTTAACTCTGTGACCTCAGGCAAATCATTTAACCTGTGTTTCCTGTCTTCTCAAAATGGGAGTTAAAATTGGACCAGCTTCACGGGATTACTAGGTACTTACCCCGGTTCCTGGCACCTCGTGTCAGCTCACATCATCCTCATCGCTTGGTAGGCATGTGTTTGCAATGCACCAAATGCGTTCAGCAAATTATTTCATCCTCAAAACAATTCCATGTCTCCCGGAAGGATGCCTGAGCTTCACAAGTTACTTAGCTTGACCTGGGTATCAGGGGCTATATTAATGTACGGGGAGCTTAGGCAACTGACTTGTGCTCTTGGCCTGCCGGGTAACCCAGACTGTGTTGCTGACTGGTAGGTGGGGCTAAGGGGAAGGAAACCAGGAACTGGAGGCCTGACCTTGGAAGCCCTTCTGAGGAAGTGCTTCTGTTGCCTTTGCAGGCTAAGCCACAGGAATTATCTCTTGGAGTCTCCTCACAAATTCAGTGTTGCTGACCTCCAGCAGGTGAGCATCCCAAGCTCCTCACCCCTAAATCCTGGATTTACTAGAAGGTTCTTAATCCCCTGAAGAAATCTCAGAGAGATAGCAGGAGGGGCAAACTCGGGCCAGCCAGCAGTCTTCAGCAGTCCACCCCTCAGAATGGCCTCCGTTTGCCCTCTTCCTGAGCAGTCCCCGACCCCTACCTCCTGGACTAAGCAGGGGTTCCAGCATGCCAAGGGCAAGAACGGAGGCCTTTCCTCCAAGGATGACAGAGTTGATTGGGATCCTATCTGTTGGTCCCGTACCCCAGTGACCTTGGGTGCAGGCCGATGCCCACATCAACAACCTGATGCAGGGAGTTCTTTTTGCCCGTATGTAACTAAGGAAGTTCTGAGGCAGGTGCTATGGCGATGCAGTAGAGCCACCTAAGACCGGTCTCCACTTGCCCCTGCAGATTGCAGAGGGGGTGTATGAAGGATTCCTCAAAGCCCTGATTGAGTTCGCCTCCCAGCATGTCTACCACTGTGACCTGTGCACCCAGCGAGGCTTCATCTGCCAGATCTGCCACCACCATGACATCATCTTTCCCTTTGAGTTTGACACCACAGTCAGGTACGAGGGCTACTACCCCCACAGCCACAGCCTGACCCAGCATCCCTGGTAACCCTCATCCTCTTATGCACACACTCCACTCTGCCGGTGCCCAGCATTCTGTGACTGCCCAAAGCTGCCTGGGCTCACAGCCCACCCCCGGGTGGTTGCTGCCTCATGAAGTGGGATGTCTCTGAGCTCAGTCTACAAATGGGTTGAGGGATTGACAGGATATCCCTGGCCCTCGAGCACTAGCCTGAGGATTCGCCAAGTGGGGAACGGATAGCTGGTACCTACCATGGCCCCAGCTGCAGTAAGTGGTAATTCTTGCCATTTGGTACTGCACATCGTTAGAAGCCCCTCAACAGGGGTGTACTCCCCAGTCTTCCCTTACCCTTACCCCAGGTAGGAGTGGGAGGCTGAACTAGGGCGATCATCCACTCACCTTCAGTAGGTGAGCCAGCCAGCGTCAGCCCGAATGGACCTGGGCTGTTTGAACTGCTTAAAGGTAGGCAAGAAGTCAAATAAACACTCCAGCATTACAAAGAATAAAGTAGGGCACAGAGTATCAGCAGGCGTGGCGTCACTTATGGGTCCAGTGTCTGAAGTGCTCTCCAAGAGAGTTGGAGGGCAGTATGTGTGAGTGTGGGCTACAGACAGAACACAGCCTCTCTGGGGTCTGTCCAGGCCCTGGCCAGCACGTCTAGGTGACTGTCACTCAAAGGCCCGTATGCTGTCTTCTCAGGTGTGACGAATGCAGAACTGTCTTCCATCAGAGCTGCCAGGCTGTGGTCCGGAAGGGCTGTCCCCGCTGTGCCCGCCGGCGCAAGTACCAGGAACAGAACATTGTCAGCTAAGCCTGCTGTCCTGACCTTCCGAGGCCATCCGACTGGGTTTGTCATCAGCCTAAGCTTCTCTGTCTCCCTGTAAGGGACACTCTCAGGTGTGCCCAGAGCTCCAGCTTCCAGAGAAGGCCCAGGAAGCCCCAGTGACCCTCCTGGCCCCTCATTAGCCTTCTCCTGCAGGAGGTGGGGACCCACCCAGTGGTGCCTCTGCAAAGGTCTTTCATCCAGCCTGGTGTACCTAGCTTTCATAGCGCCTCCATTAGGGCTGTTCATACACTGTGGAAACGAGGCCTGGAGCACTTTCAACTCACATTCCTGACTAAAAAGGTCTAGTTTTTTAAGGTGGGCCCCCCCTTCATATTTAAACAGAAAATATTTTTTTTTATTCTTGACCCTACCTAAACCACCTAAGAAATGCAACCATTTGCCCAGGCAGATGGGTGAGAGCAGTCCCAGCCCAGAGGCAGGCATGGGACTGGGTGGACAAGCCTCTGTGGACTGAGCGCCTTTCCTTTGCCCGTTCTGGCACATACTGCCGGAAGTGCAAGTGTTACGTGCCAAACGACGGGCCAGTTTCAGAGACTACCCTGCCCTCCGTCTTTGTGTTCTCACCTGGAAAGTGTCCCCTTCCTCTGTCACAGCCCCTGCCTCCTTTCTGGCTTGGGAAGCAGCAGGAGCAGGGGGATGACCAGCACCAGCACTGTCAGCACTTTGAGCCTTCCTTGTCCAGGAAGACCGTGATCTTGCCCACCTCATCCCTATACCCTCCTTAGTCCTGGTAGATGGTAGAGCTGACCCCTGCCAGGGCAGAGTAGGCTTGGCACCGCCAGAGAGGCTCGGAGCTCCACCTGTGGAATAGAAGCTGCGCTGTAGAAGCTTCCGCAGCCCTTGTCTCCAGATTCGCTTCTCAGCAGGACACTGCGGAGTCCGTTGAACTTCCCAGGAGCAGGCTTGCCCTGAAGAGACTCTCCGGGCTGGTCTAGCATTCCAGAATTGCTCTCAGGGTGATGTTCATAGCCTTGAGGCATTTAGGGGAGTAGGTATGCACTATGCTGTCCTCTCGCCTCTCCTGGACCCCGTAAGCCCTTCTGGCTACCCCAGAGTACTCAAGTCAGAGCCAGAGGCCTCAGGTGGAATGGTGACCCTCCCTGGAAATGTGCCTGTCATTTCTAAAGAAGAGGTTTCCCCACCCTCCCGGGGATGAATGAGCTGAGTCACCTCCTGAAGCTTGAAGAATTGTGCAATAGACCAGAGGAGGCATTGGCAGGTGGTAGAGGCTGCCACAGTTAATCTGTCCCCATCATGGAAGACCACACTCTCCAGTGGTTGGGAAACCAAAGCTTCCAGAACCACGCAGTATATCCATAGCTGCACCCCACAGCCAGCATTAACACTTTCCCCAAACCACAGCCTGATCAGAGCCTCCTTGCTGTGGACCTGAATGGGCAGGAGTCTGTCCCCTGTGGGCTTGTTACATGAGAGTATTCCAGAACCCACCAGGGGCAGCCCGACCCCTCCACTGCCTGGACTGTACACGTTAGAGCGGTAGAGCGTGCCCTCACCTTTCCTGAGCTGCCGATGTGCTCAGATGAGTCACTCACCCTGCCACCAGAAGAGCTCGCTCGTGTGAATCTCAGCGGTGCCCACACTATGTAAGAGATGTTATTTTATGCAATATTCTGACAAGTGGGCCTTGGCAGTGTAGAGAAGGAGCTGCTTCTGTGGTATTTGACTGATTTGCAGTAAAGAGCTCATCTTTCTAATCCAAGTCTGGCTTCTGATTGTTACTCCTGCGGCTGTTGGGGAGACACCAGCCATCCGACCTGCTCCCCTTAATCCTAGGCACTGGCATTTCAGGGTCTGTGGAGCACACTTGCCAGCCAAAGCAGCAGGGGGCAAGAGGTAAGTGACAGAATTTAGGTTGCCCTGGGTGGAGGTGGGAGGCTAAAGCTCACTCTTCCGCGTTAAATGCCTGAACACAGATCACACACACACACACACTCTCTGACTGACCTGTAAAAGCTCAGGAATCTGGGTGTGGGATTCAGGGTAAGCAAGGAGGGCAAGCTCTGGCTCCTGGATTAAAGGCTCAAGAGACCTGTCTGCTGCTGGCCTTCCCCAGAGGTTCCAGGAGAAGCCCCCCACTGCCTGTGTAAGAACAAAGGAAGGAAAAGAGACTAATTTCTAGGGAAACCAGGTCGCAGGAAGATGGGACAGAAAAAGACAACATCCAAGGCTACATTTCCCGGCCTCAGGGACCTTCAGCCAGTGAGAGGGGCTGCTTCTTGGCCATCGATGAGCCAGATTCTCCAGAGGCCCAGAGGAAGAGAACTGGATTTGGAGGTTGGGGGAGGCAGGCCTGACACTTGAGCTGACACTGTCCAGGGCTCAGTTTTGCACCTTCAGCACAGGCCTCTGGGGGCAGTTTCCCTTTCTTCCCCTCTGTCTAGAGGGGGCTGGAAGACTGGAGCTCTCATCCCCAGAAAGTGCCTCCTATCGTGAAAGTAACAACAAATAATAAAGGTCCTGCGCACCATCATTGTCTTTAGTCTCGTTCATCCTTCCCCCGCAAGCCTATGAGGCGAGGGGAGGAACTGGGACCCAGTAAAGCCGGGTTCCCATGTCTAAGAGCCAGCTTACGGCAGAGTCGGGCATCAGACCGCTGTACACCCAGACAGAGACCTGACTGGCTGAAGGGGGACTGGGGCAAATAGGGAAAAACAAGGTAGGGTGGAGGGAGAGAGCTCATTCAGCCTCTTCAGCCATGTGCCTTCTCTGGAGGAGCCTACCGAGCAGAATGTGGGCTCATTAGTGGACAAGACTAACAGTCAAAGATAAGGAATGGGGAGTCAAAAAATATATGGGGGGGTGTCCAGCCAAACCCTCAGCCCTGGAGGGACATAGTCCTGCTGTGAGGGTGCCCTTCTCTGCTCAGGAGCCTTACGCAGCTCCTGAGTGGAGCACCCAGTTGGACCCTACACTTCTTGGAGGCCAAAGAGAATGGATACTCTGGTGCTGGGGCCTGTCCTTGTCAGAAATGTTCCCAGGCACAGCTTAGAGTGGGAAGGTTGCTTTCCCAAGAACCAGGTGGCTCCCAAGATGCCTGCAGAGTACCGGACAAGGACTCTCCCCCTTCCGACGATGAGGGTCAGTGGGAGGGTAATCTGGTCAGAAGTTGAGAGAAACTGCCTCCCCCGCAGATCTCCATCCAGGCCCTGCCGCCGCCTCCTCCCCGGAGACAGCCAGGTGTGGCCCAGGATCCCGGGGAAGGAGGGGGAAGGGTGGTGTCTATGCTCCTAGAGCGCTGGCCCGGCCCAGAGGGGACAGGAAGCCAGGACGCCGGGGATTGTCTCTTGCAAGCACAGCCCAGCCCCAGCCTGGGAGGAAGTTCTGCCGAGCGCTCTCCGCCGGTTATATTGTTGGACAGGAAACGGCACCGCGGGAGCAGGGCCGTGGAACAGGCAGCACCGGACGCGGACCCCACGCGCGGCTGCCGGGACAAGTGGAAGCTAGGCCAGCGGGCGAAAGTTCTGAGGTGCCCGGGCCGGGCTAGACCAAGGGAGGGGTGGTGTTGGGGAGGATGGTGCTGGGTCGTGGGAGGGCGGGTAAGGTGCCCCCAGGTGGCCGTCCCCAACCTGGAGCCCCGCGCACCTCCTGTCCTTCTCGCTGTACTGAGGTTAAAGCCCCGGAGGCCCGATCCCCAGGGAGGAGCGTTAGGCGTGGGGGCTGCCTTCTGCCTGGGGGCGAGAGGGAAACCAGCTAAAGTCCCCCAGTGCTGATTTAGGCATTGGTGACGCTATGGCGAGGGACGACCGGGGCAAAAGATGCAGGAGACCTACTGGCTAAGGGTGCGTTCTTGCTTCCAGGGATCCTCCCCGCTCTCGCATCCCTTCCCTTCTCTTCGCTCTCCCAGGATAAAGGATCTGAGGCGCAGGTCCCCTTGGTCCCCTTATCACACAATTCGAGACACTGCGCTCTTGTGAGCGTCCCTGCAAGGGGACTCTAGTTTTTCCAGGCCCGGACGGGCTGCGCCCTGAGAGGGCGGAGGTGCACTAGGAATGGATAGTGCTCTCGGTCTAGCTGCAAAAGGCTCGCAGTTCGTGATTTAGGGTGCAAATGGCCTCGCTCAGAATGTGCATGCAGGGACCAGATAACCATCTCCAGCCGGGCATTCCCAGAGCATCGCGCCCGCGAAACGCAGGGCCTCAGGGGCAGCAAATCCCTCCGGGGGTGGAGGGGAGAAGCAGGACCTATTGACCCTTAAGCTCCGCTCACTACCCGTCAGCACCTCTTCCACGCAATCCCTCCCTCGTGCCTTTTTTTGTTCCTGGAGACCTAGTCTCTCAGTTCTCCCATGGGCCCCGGCACAGACATTATGGCTCCTCCTCACCCTCCCAGACAAACTGTACTGGGGACTGGGGACAACCCTACTGAGTGTGGGTCTCTGCCTCTCCTCTCTGAGTCAGCTCTGTTCTGTGCGGTTTCCTTCGGTCTCATCCCTTGGAAGTCCCGCCCACAGAAATGGTAGAGACCTCACCTGCAACCCTCCGCCAGCCCCGCCCATCCAGTCCGTGGGCAGCCTGAGACCCTCCCAGCTAACGTGAGTGCGTGATTGGGGTCCTGGGGAAGGGGGCGTAACCCGAGTGTTCACTCTCCCAGGATTTGCTCGCCAGGCTCTGGTCTAGCGTGACACCACCTCTCAGGCTCAGGGTGCTCACCGACTCAGTCTACACCCCTTCCCCCTACAAGGAATTCTTGAAAACATGAAGTCAAACCTCAGCAAGAGGGTGGACTCCCCGCTGCTGGCCCCCAAGCCATCTTGTAGAGAAGTAAACGGAGTGGTCAGTGTAGGGTTTTGGAGTGATCAGCACTTCCGGAGTAGGCCACCAGCTTCACTTTTTTGAAGGCACACAGATTGGGATTGTCCCTCTTCCCCCATACACTGAACAGGCATTGGGTGGGTGGGTGGGTGGGGCGTTATGATGATTCCTCCAAAGACCTTTAGGGGATCCTGGTGACACTATCGCAATGCATTCTGTGGGAGCTACTCTCCCGGGCAGGCAGGCAGGCGGGGTAGGGATCCTACGCAGGTGCGCACACCAGGAAGCTTTGGGAGCTGGAGCGCAGAGGGCGGTGCTGGCCCGGATGGGCGGGCGGGACTCCTAATTCACGTGTGTGGCGAAGCCACTGAGAAAGGAAAGAGAAACCCAGAAAACCGGTTCTCCAGCCTTAGCTGTCCATGCCCCTACGTCAAAGTCCCTGGACTAAGTAAGGCAGGGAAGCCCCTAAGGAAGAGCAACTTGGGGGCTGCCCCAGAGCCTGCGCCCCAGAGCTCGCTCGCCCGGAGTGCAGACTCTTAAAGGGAGGGGGCACTTTAGGGCTTTCCACGGATTCCCTGCAGGCTGGAGGCGTCGGGGTGGGGCGGGACGGGGGCGGAGGAGCGGCGGGAAAGGGGCCTTAATTCCCAGTTCGCCAACCCGAAAAACGAGGCTCAGCCAACCTTAAGGCAAATGTGTTATCTACCTTGCAGTCCCCGCGGGTCTTTGAGCCAAGGTTCCCTGGAGAGTAAAGTTGAATTCCTATCATCCTCAATTTCCTCACCGCGGGATCGCAGCGAGACCCACATCTCACAATCAACGTCACAGAATGGAGCCTTAAAACTGGGAGCTTTGGAGATGATTTTATCCAAATCCCCATTTCAGAGATGGAAAAACTGAAGCCCGAATGCACTGGGCAAGGGCAGGAGAGGGACTCGAACCCTTGTCTTTGAGCTCCAGTCGCGGTGCTCTTCCCGGCTGCGCGGTCCTGACTTCGGCGGCTCCTCTTGTTGCCCGCAAAAAAGCGCGGTGGCCGCGATGGCGGCCGACGTCGAAGGGGACGTGTATGTGCTGGTGGAGCACCCCTTCGAGTACACCGGCAAAGACGGGCGCCGTATCGCCATCCAGCCCAACGAGCGTTACCGACTGCTGCGCCGCAGCACCGAGCACTGGTGGCACGTGCGGCGCGAGCCTGGGGGTCGCCCCTTCTACCTCCCCGCGCAGTACGTGCGCGAGCTGCCCGCACTCGGTGACCCTGCCCCGGCCCCGCAGCCTTCCGTGCCGCAGCCGCGCCCCGCAGTCCCGGAGCCTCTGGCCTACGACTACCGCTTCGTAAGCACCCCGGTGGGTGCCGATGGATCCTCCACCGAGCCCCGGGGACGCGCCAGCTCCCTGTGTGGCCCTGCGCGACAGCGCGCCGGAGGCCAGCGCAGCAGCCTGGCGCCGGGAGGACCCGCCTGCCTGTACGTGCGGCCGGCAGCGCCGGTGCGACCGGCGCAGTCCCTGGACGACTTGGCCCGCGGCGGCACCGCGCCCCCTGCCGGCCTCCTCGGTAGCGCCGGCCACTTCAAGGCCTCCAGCGTGGCGGGCTCCTGGGTTTGCCCGCGGCCCCTGGCGCGCAGCGACTCGGAGAACGTCTACGAGGCCATCCCGGACGTGCGCTGTCCTCCGCGGGAGGAAAGACCCAAGCAGGTAGGTCGCCGCGGTCGAGGGGACCGGAGGGAGGTCGCAGTTACGCAGAGCCCAGCTGATTTCTTAACTGAGGTCGTTGTTTGTCCCTTCATCTCATTCATCGTGAATAGTCATGTTCATGCAAAAAAATGTAAATGGACTTGAACATACAGGGTACTGTCCCAAACCCTGCTCGGAGATTAGCTAACCTAGGACAGGTCCGAGCACCGAATAACGTTCCTACAATGCCACCTGCTCTGTAAGGAGCAGTTTGGAGCTGTGAACTCTCACTCATTCTTCCCCAGAAGCTTAAGGTGGAGGTCGAGTCAGATGAGATGGTGGATGTGAAAGCCGAGCATCTGCTTCTCTTTGGGACAGCCTCCAAATTTTCGGTTCCTTTAAAACAAAACAAGATGGAAACTCTTAATGGGCTTTTTTCGAGTTCAATTGCAGTGAGGTCTCTCTGTTTCGGGATCCGGTTGTGTTGATATGAGACAGCGAATACAGCACGTTTTTAAACACTTATAGCCTCAGACTCCTCTTGCTCGGCCCTGTCATCTTAAACTTTAGAACCTTTTAGGGAGAAATGGCCTGCGGGAGGAGGGAGGGAGGGGTGCCCCCAACGGGTTGACATCTGCCACTCGCTGTGGCATTATCCAGAACTCACTTCCTCAGGCACCGAGTCCCAGGTGCCCTCACTCAGGAGGTGCGACCCCATAGAGCAGCTGCTTGGCCTTGCGGCTTGGCCTTGAGGCTGAGTTCAGGTTTTGAGGCTACTGAAACCCGAATTTGACTCTGCTGGGTCACCTGCCAGCTGCTGACGAGCTCGGTGTCCTCGTATGTAAACAATACCCAAGGAATAAAGTTGCTGTGAACCTTAAACGCAGTGAGGCATGGAAGCGCTTGGCAGGAGCTGGTGCCAGGAGAGCAGCTAGGGTCCCGCTGACTCGGCGTTGCCTGCAGCTCTGCGCCTCTGCGCTAACGTTTCCGCGGATCATCCCTCCTCCTTGTGGCCACTGCAGAGAACAACACTCAACCGGCTTGAGTATCCGTCACCAATCAATGACTATGTCCTGTTTATCCGCCAGTCTGTGGTGTAGATGGCTAAACGCCCGCGCTTGGTTCTCCGACGCCCTTGAGCAGGCTCCCTTCCTCTAGAGAACTCCCGGGTCCTTCCAGATTATGGGTCCTAGTAATGTTAGGAATATGTCTACTGCCCCCATGAGTTTCCTGGCTATGGGAAATGATCCCATGTGCAGAATTCTGGCCAAGGGATTGCTCACACTGTGTTAAAAAAGCAAGGTCCTGCATCCCCTTCACCCATGAACCAGGTCTGTGCAAGCCTATTCAAAGGTGGCTTTCCAATCCAGGCTCTGGGACCAAGGAAAGAGAGAGTCGCCCAAATGTCAGAATCTCCTGAGAAATCTCCCCAGCTAGCTACCAGGATCCCTGACCTTTCCCCACCCTTCCCCCAGCTCCCAGCAGGTTCCTGTGAGCAGTTTGGGGACACAGTTGAAGGTGGGCTGGTAATGACACAGAAGGGACCAGGAAGTCTGCCAAGGACCTGACAGAGAGGCTGCTGCTGTCTCTAATTAACTCTGCGGCTTCAAAAGAGGGCTCAGCATCCCTGGCCCTGTTCGCTCCTGTGTGCTGAGTATAACAATGGCACATTCTCTCCTGACACCCTGTCCCCAGCAAACCGCAGGGATGCTGAGTTTGTTCTCCCTTGGGAAGGAAACCCCACCCCTGCCCTGCCTTGTCCCAGGCAGCATGGGAAAGAATTCCCTGAAAGAAGAGCCTGGCAGTTTTCTAGAGGATATAGATACACGCATGTGTGCACGTGCAGGCACACACACACACAGAAGACGCAGATTATATATATGCGTGCATGTGCACACACAAACACACACCCAGAAGACATAGATGCACACACACACACACACACGTACCCCTACTCATATTCCAACTCATTCGTACTCACTACCCTCACTCATACCTCGGCCATGATGCCCCAAGTCGATTTGCTTACTCTTGCTTGTCCATTAAGCGTGAATTGATTAGATGCCGCTCAAGTCCCTAGTGAGCTTTCAGTCCTAGGGATGATGGGAGCACAGAAACGGTCCTGGGAGGTACACTGTCTGGGATGGGACCCTGATAGCAGATGCCCCTGTCCCACCCTGTTCAGACCTTAGGGAGCTGTACTGAGGCTGCTGTGGCACAAGGGCAGAGGGGAGGTGTGGACAGGCCTTCCTGGAGGCTTTGTAGTTCTGTCCCAACCCACGGTTTGTGCTGGCTCAGGCAGGGCTTTGTGGGAATTTGGACTTTATCCTGCAGCCTTTGGAAGGCTCTTAGTAAGGAAGGGGATGGGTTTGAGAAGGACTCCTGTCTTCAGGGCTATAGTACATGGTGAAAAGGGGAGGGTCACGGAGTTTGGGGCCAGGGAGAAGCAGTTGGGCAGCTGAGGCCTAACTTTCCACTGACACTGGTGGGCAGACAGTGGCATTGTTTACATAGGCCTTGGAGGAAGCACGGGTTAGAGGGGGAAAAATGGGATGCACCTGAATAGAATTGACAAAAGGAGGAAAAGAGGAAGTTAGGAGGAAACAAAGGGACCAAAGAGGAAAAGCAGAAGCCTAAAAGCCAAGGTGAATGTGCAGAAGTTCAAGTTAGACAAAGGACGTTATCTGACGTAGCCACCAGAAGACCAGCTTGTCAAGGGATTGCAGAAGACAGTGTGGATCAGGGGCTGAAGGATGTGAGTGGAGCGGGTACGTGAGCGGGCAGGCGGGCAACCGTTTGGCAGAGAAGACGGAGAAACACTGTAGTCAGAGTAAGAAGGCGAAACAATCAAGGCATCCTAAAGTCTGAGGCAGCAGGTGAGCCCAGAGCAGGGAGGAGGGAGGAGGAGGGACGTTTAGATAGGATCCCTGGAAGAAGGGAGTGGCTGAAAACGGGAGCAAAGGTGTGGACCCGAGAGGTGTTACAAGTGACAGGGCATCAGATGGACCTGTTGTATACCAGCTCCATCCTCAGGGCAGGCTGCTCAGCAGATATACCCAGAGAAGAAGGGCGTCTGTGCCACCTTCAGCATTTTGTGTCCACAGCTCACGTGAGTACTGCACACTACACCTGCTGTATGCTGGGCATAGAGCTTTACACCATGGACCCAAGATGTAGTAAGACACAGCTCCCAGGGGCTAACAGCCCTCTGTCCTCACAGTCACAGGTCTGCCACACAGCTCAGTGCCTAGCAGCTCAGAAGGTGGCATGGGACACTCTTTTGCCCCCAAAACAAACAGGTTATAGAGGAAGTGTGTTCGGATCAGACCCAGGCCTCCTGGCTCGAAACCCCACCCTAGCCGCCAAATTTAGTCTCAGGAAAGTGGCCAGGGGTGAGTAGCCTTGTTCCTCTGGGCCAGAGCAGTGGGAGCAGAAGTCAAGCAAATCCATTTTGTTCTGAGCACAGGGCTCAGCCCTGCAATCCTCCAGCCAGCACTGCTGACGTCCAGGTTACAATAGGGGAATGAGATAGTAAGGAGGCCACAACCAGCACTCCTGACAGGGCTGGGGTCACACCGGAAGCCATGAGACAAAGTGGCCTCTGGGGCCATGTCTATAATCCCAGCTACTCGGGAGGCTGAGCAAGTCGGATCCTGTTTTCAAGGGTCCTTGAGCTACAGAGCAATGCAAAGCCAGTCTGGTGCGCTTAGTGGAACTCTCTCAAATAAAGGGTTAAAAAGAGGAGCTAGGGTGTACAAGGTCATGCCTAGGTTTAAGACACAGGGTTCAATCCCCAATACTGCCCTCCCCCTGTGGCCTCTGGCCTCTCTAGCTAGCAGATTTCAGGGTGTGTTCAAAATGCCTGTCCTAGCCTTGGAGGTAGGAAGGCCCGGGGCACCAATGGACTAGGGCCCGCCCCTGTTGCCTGGGCATTGGCCACTGGCAGGACAGGTTACAGACCTTGCTGGGAACTTATGCAAACAGCCCCAGAGGCACTGCTCTTGAGCCTGGACCCAGCCTGAACTGGAAGGAGCCTCCTGGGCCCTCAAATTTCCCACCTCGGCCATCAGGAACTGTGAGTGATTTCCCCTGGTACCAGGATCCTGGGGGAGAAAGGGACTGGCCGCTTTCTCTCTAGCCTCACTCCCAGATTCCCCACCTGATCCCTCCCTTCCTGTACACTCCCTGAGACACTTGTCTCAGGGACAGTCCCAGCCAACCTTGTGTCTGAAAAGCTTGGGGTCAGTACAAGCAGGGAGTGGAGGCCAAATTAAGAACACCCAGTGAGATGTCCCTGTCCCATTCAGTCCTGTCCAATCTGCTCAGTCCCTGTCTCCCAACAGCGCTCAGGAGCCCTAGCTTGGGAAGCTGCCCCGGGTGGCTCAGCTGGTCTCTTTATACCTGACCTGGTCTTTTCCTCCCTGCTGATCCATATGTCCCAGGACCTAGCCCCACCATCCGGCTTAGGGAAGAGCAGGGAGACCAGGGCTTCCCCTCTCCCCACCCCCTCCCAGCCTTACTTACCTTACCTACCTGGCTACTCAGAATGCTCCTAGTCACTGTCTTCGCCCCTGCAAGATGGGTGGCTGGCTATCTCATGTCCTCTAGATGGTAGGGGGCTGGATTCCTCCTCACTCTTGTTTCCTGGTTCTCTTGGTCCCTGGTTCCCTTTAGCCCCTAGCCTTCAAGTTAGATCCCAGGACCAGCACACTCCTGCCGCTCCCATCTGAACCCTGGACTTTTTCCGCCTTCCCTCTGTTAAGGAGTGGGAGGGGACAGTCCTCAATGCTGAATGTCAGTTGGATGGGTGGTCAGTGCCAGGTCTTGAGGTACAGGAAGGCCCATGGTCATAGTAACTGGTAGTCGGGAATGTGTTCTGGGCTCCATGCCAGAAAAGGGTCTGGGCTGGTGAGCAAAGGAACAGTAGCTATTGGCTGATGTCTGGGGGAGCCGGAACAGAGCCTGTGGCTCTAGGGCATAAGAATGCCTGGTTAAATTGAGGAAGCTCTATTTCTAGGTTGAGGAAGGACTTTAGTGTTGAGGGGATTCCCAAATTGCTGCCTTTCCACTCAGCTCATCTGCAGGCTCTTGGGGTCCTTATCCTCCATCCTTGGTCCTGTCTGGAGGTCTCCTGTGAGACTTTCAAGAAAGCATAGGGGCCAACTGGGCTGCTTCTGGACCCCAGCCTCCCTTTTCCTTGTCCCTCCGCAGGAACATTCCCCAGCCTGTTTGAATGTACGAATTACTATACCCTCCCCTGTAAAATGATTTGACCTTCTTTTAAATGTTGGGGTAACGGGGAAAATGCAGTTTATTTCTGCCAACTTCGGGGTCCTCTTCCAGCATCTGCTTCCCCCGGCTTCCCTGTTGGGAGTTTGGCACAAGGCAGTCCAGTCGGCCGATGGGGGAAGGCAGCTCCTGGGGCTCTCAAAATCAGAAATGGCACAACAGGCCTACAATGAAAGGAAAACCCCGGCTGCAGGTAGCTTATTGTCCAGGAGGCAAGATAGGCCAACAAAAGCACCGTACCGTTAGGAGATGTGTGGCTAACATGTCCCCAAGGTGCCACAGAAGGCACTTTGGAAGCTTCTTCTCTCCAGTGATGGGATTGGCAGAAAACATCTCAGAATGCTTCCTGAAGACAGAAAGTGATGTCACAGATAGTCTCAATGAATTCTGTAATTTCTTCCCATGTAACCTTCCAGATCAGCGTCCCCATCATTGTCAGTAATCGATCTATTCCCTTTATTTTATTAGTTCCCTAGTTAATTTTGGCTATTTGACATCTTGTTAGGAGAGTATTCATCTTGTTAGGAGAGGTGTAAAATTTCCACCTCTGAAATTCCGTATGAACTGGGGGAGATGGCACACATCTGCTGAGCCAGCGTTTGGGAAGCCAAAGCAGGAGAATCATGAGGTCAAAGCCGGCCAGGACAATATACCAAGACCTCATCTCGAAAACGAAAAGAAACCTAGGCCAACTGCCTGTCTGTAGCAGGAGCATTTGTTCTGCTCATGTTTCGTTTAACAGCCGATTCCCTCTGCGGAATTTTGTTGCTCTGGGTTTTATTGCCGTGTTTTGCACTCCTTGGTTAGCCTTGTGTCTTCCCTCTCTGGGGGTGGGGGTGGAGTTGGCTTCCCTTTTCTTCTGTCATATTTTCCATTTCATCAATGGCTTCTTCCTCCATCCTTGCATCCCTAACCAAATGAGAGTTCTCCATCCAGTCTCGATGCTTATTGAACCTGCCGGGCAGCAGACTCATCCCTGTCAGCGTAGGACTCTGTTTATTGTATGGATTTCGCTTTTTTGGTTTTCTTTTACTTGAGAGTTTGCTCTCCTGAGTGGGTCCACCGCTTTCTCTTTTCCCCTATCCTTTTGTACTTGTGCTGTGACATTGGAGAGAATTTCTTCTGCATGAACTTGAGCCCACAAATCTGAATCTGATGGTGCTATCTTTTTGGTGAGTACAATGATACATTTTAAAGTCCTTTTTAAAGCTCCTTACTTGGTCAAACTCTCCTTAAGAGTTCTCATTTGTTCTTTAAGTTGTAATTGCATTGGTCAGCCCTTCCTTTTGCTAATAGTCTTGAATGCTTTAGTGGAAATATGTATGCAGAGTTTTTTTTAAATATTCCCCCCCCCCAAAAAAAACACAGTTTCTCTGTCTAACCCCAGCTGTCCTGGAACCTACTATGTAGATCAGGCTGGCCTCAAACCTAAGCCCTCCCCCTGCCTCTGCTCTGTAGCACTAGGACTGAAGGTGTGTGCCACCTACGCCATCTTTAAAATAGTATTTATTTTATTTTATGTGCACATTTGTCTGTGTGAGGGCATTGGATCTCTCAGAACTGGAGTTATAGACAATGGTGAGTCACATGTGGGTGCTGGGTTGAACCCAGGTCCTCAGAAAGCAGCCAGCGCTCTTAACAGCCGAGCCATCTCTCAGACCCTATAATTTTATTTTTTTAATTGACATAGCAGTCATACACATTTGTAGCACACAGTGAGATTTCCATAAGTGTATAAAAAGCATGATTCGTGTAATCATATTGATCATCACAGACTTCATTATTTCTTTGTGATGGGAACGTTCAAGCCCCTCTCTACTAGCTACTTTTAACTGTAGAACTACTTGGTGTCAAGCACGGGTGCTCCTCAGGACTCTGGAGTGCAGAAAGCTACTCCTCCATCTAACTGAGCCCCTAGACCCCCTGGCCGTTCTTTCCCTGTCACCCCTCACACACACACCCTTCCCAAGCTCTGGTAACCACTATACCGTGTTCTATTTCTTCGAAGTCAACTTTCCAGTCCTCACCGTGAAGTGGGAACACACACAAGTTATTGTCCCATGCCTGGTTTATTTCACTTAACACAGTGTCCTCTAGTTACATCCATGCACTTACAGAGAGTTTCACTCTACTGTGGCTACACAGAATTCCACCGTGTTTGGTATTCCACTGTGTTGTGTCTTCTTTACTCATCCTTTGATGGACAGCTGGGTGGGTTCTGTATGTTGGCTCTTGGGAGCAGAGCCACAAGGATCGTGGTAGTGCAGATGTCTTCTTACCATGCTGACTTGGGTTTCTTTGACTGTCTGCCCATGGTGAGGTGGCTGCAGCATATGCTCTTCTATTTCTAGCTTTGGGGGAACACTCACATTGACTTGCATAGTATTTACATCCCACCCATGCTGCAGGGGAATTCTGCTTTCCCTCTACCTCACTAGCATTTGCTACTTTTCCCCCTAGATTTTAAAATGTATGTGTATGCGTGTTTGCCTGTTTATTGCACCATATGCATGCAGAGGCCAGCAGAGACCAGCAGAGGGCATCAGACCCCCGGAACTGGAGTTACAGACAAGTGTGAGCGGCTCAGTGTGGGTGCTGGGAGCCAAACCTAGATCCTCAACAAGAACAATACAACTCCTCCCTGCTGAGCCATCTCTCCAGCCTCCACCTGTTACCTTTAGTTTTATAAATTTTCATTTCAACTTTAATTTTTTTTTCAGTGCTGAAGATCAAATCCTGTCTTATAGTTTTTTTTTTTTTTTAATCAGACACAGTATCACGTGCTTGTGTCTGCTACACTCTGGAAACTGAGGCACAAGGATCATTTGTACTCAGGAATTTGAGACTACTCCGAACAACCTAGTACGCTTGGGCAAGAGCGGTGCACACCTTGAATCCCAGCAGTCCGGAGGCAGATGCAAGTGGATATCTGTGAGTTTGAGGCTAGCCAGGTCTACATAGCCAAGGCTGCATAGTAAGACCCTGTTCCCCCGCCCCCCCAAAAAGGCCCTGTCTCGGCTTCTCAATTTAAAAAGAAAAAAGATGTCTTTAATCACATTTATGTAAGTCCAGCAAGTTGGTCCTCACAGTTTCAATACTTTGGGAGACTGAAGCAGGAAGATTGGAAATTGGAGGCTAACATGGTCAGTTTATCAAGACTCTGTCTCAACATAAAAAATTTTTAAAAATCTAGAATGTAGCTGAGCAGTAGGGCCCTTACTTAGCCTCCAAGAATCCTTGGGTTCAATCCCAGGTGCCACAAAAAAAGTAAAACATTTTCAATACAAAAATTTTCAAATGTATTTTCATTTATTTTGTGGCTCTTAAACCTCAGTGCTTCATCATAGACTTAGTTAAACTGTTACAAAGGTCCTAGGACACACAGTCATGTGTCACTCACCCATGAGGACACATCCTGAGGAATGCATTGTTAGGTGATTTCATTGTCTTGTGGGTGTCATGGGGTGTATTTGACCAAACCTAAATGGCAAACAGGTTGGTCACCCGGCATGACTTTCTGTTGTGATCAAGAGACATAGTAACCAAACATATGAGGCTACTGGCCATTTCACAGGGAAGTGTCTGTCCTAAGTGTGGGGGGTGGGGGTAGGGGGAGGTGGGGGGGCATTGCACTAATGATTGCTGAGGCTTAGGTCGCAGGTACATGCATTTGCTAGGCCCTGTGCTCTGCACGCCCTACCTAGTTGTTTGTGCCATAGGTTTGTGTGTATACAGCTGCCAAGGTCGCAGATGTGTCTACCCTGCCAGCACCAGGAGCTGTGACTAATGCCTGGTGCTGTCACTGATGGTGCCAGTGTGACTCAGGGAATAAGAATGCTTCAGCTAAAAGAAAGAAAAAAGAAATTGATCTCGGCTCCATAGAATTCTCATCAGAATACTACCATCGATGGTTGTTAATCAAAGCGCCCATGTGCACAGCTGTGGATGAAGTGCGCGCTCAAACTTTGTGAACTTTTCCTTTTCTTTATTTTGCATCAAATTCTGCCTCAACTTCTTTGGTGCCAAGATTACAAGACATAAGGATGCGAACCACCATGGAGGGGGAGGTGTGGTGTGAGAGAGAGACATTCTCTCTCCCTGTCTCTCTCTCCCTGTGTCTCTACCTCTCTCTGTATGTCTCTTTGTCTCTGTCAGAGAGAGAGAGAGGGAGGGAGGTGAGGCCTCCGTAGCTGGTGAGACTCTAGAGATCCTGGTCAAGGAAGCCGACTGGAACAGGAGGCCCCTGCGCCCTACATTAAAGCCAGGGAACCGTCTGAGGAGTGGGTGGGTAAAAGGCCACCCCTTGTCGCACTTCCATACCTCGGCAGTTAGGCTGGAAGTCACAATCTTACCGGCCAGCCCAGAGGTCCTTGATGGTCTCTGCCACCAAGTCCGCCAGCAGTATTTCTAGTGTGTACCCGGAGAAGCCCACCCAGGAGGAGCAGGCTAGGAGGCAGTTCCCCGAGGTCACACAGAGGCTGGGGCAGAGTCCGGTGCTGAGGGCACCCAATCCGAAACCCAGAACCAAGAAAGCAGAAGCATGCCCTGCTTTCTCACCAGCGCCCGCCCTGCGGGTGTGGGAACTCGGCGGCCAGCTGGGTTTTCACAGAAACCAGCCCTGGGGGCAGGGAAGAGGACAGCCCCTCGCTATAGAGATCCCCGCCCCCACACCTCTGGATGTCTGTTTATTCTGTGTTGATTGAGATAATTCAGCCCTAACCCCACTGTGTTTAGGATTGGGTTGAGGTAGGGCACCTGGCCTGGGCTGCACAATCACCCCAGGGAGCAGTGAAAGGCTTTGTCTGGGATGCGGCAGTGACCATTGCCCCCATACAGTAGTGAGCATGTAGCTCTCAGCCTGGCCTGGCTGGATACAGAGAGAAACACAAGTCTCTGGCCCCTAGGAAGTTGTAGCAGGGCAACCTTGAGGCAAAAAGTGCAGTTCCTTCCTGCTTCCTGCCACCCAATCTGAGTGGCAAAGAGTGGACAGGCTCAGTGAGTGGGTGGAGACCAGTCCCTGCCCGTCCCTGGCTGAGTCTTTGATTTAGGCCCTCTCTCTCTTTCTCCCTCCCTACCCTCTTTCTCTTGTCTCTCTTTAGACTATATAGCCAAGAGGCTACTGTGGATGAATTCCAGGCTACCTTTGAATTTACAGCCCTGCCTCAGTCTCCTGAGTGCTGGATTACAGGCTTGTGCCTTTATATGTCCTATGTTTTGGGACATTTATTTTACCTCTCAACCGAGAGGACAAGATTTTCCTCTTGTACAGTCTCCTACAGACACACACACACACACACACACACACACACACCCCTCCTCCCTTCTAGAGTAGTTTTGGCGGTGAGGCCAGCCTGGGAGAGGCGGATGGAGTGCCAGGCAGCTAGTCTGTGCCGGTGGCTCTGATCCCACCTGCTGTGTAACTCTCAGTGTGGTGTGCTTGTGGGCACCAGTTGTGGCCATCACTTCCGCTTGCTGGGAGAAGGGAAGCCACTTTAGCCTGAGAGCTGGCCTGAGCATCCGGAGCAGTGCCAGCTTCCCAGGACGGTGGCCCTGCGTCCTGGGGGCTTCTGCCGGAGCCGTGATGTGGGTGCCAAAAGGGCGGAGGACCACAGGCTCAGCCTTCTGTGTTCTCAGCAAGTGTTTCAATTCTGTCATGTCTCCGTGCGATTTCTAAAATGGGAGACCAGGCAGGGGGTCAGAGCCCAAACTGGAAACAAGCCAGGGATCCATGGACACAGGGGAAGGGCAGGACAGACAAGATGGTCGCCAGGGACTTGGTGGACCAGCCCCAGATGCTCACCTGGAGTATGCTGGGTCCACTGTGTGTGCTTGGGTTGGAGTGTCACCTGCGTAAGGCGGTGGACAGAGGAGAAATCAGAAGGGGGTGGGGCAGCGGGTTGGTGTTCTTTCTCTAAGTCCCCAGGGGAGGGTGGACAGATTCACACACAGAGGCAGAGACACCTCTGAAGATCAGTGCGTGCGGCCACCCGGGCAGAAGAGGGCAGGTGCGACTTGGTGACCGTGTCTGGAGGAGATAGGGCCAGGTGGTCAAGTGGGAAGACAGTGGTATGGTCACTGCCCCTTCCGTTCTCATGGCTGGCAGAGTCTAGACACCAGCTTCCCCATACCACTTGCGTCCAAACCCCTTCCTCATCTGAACGTCTTTCCACAACCTTCCCCTTCACACCCTCACAGCCACGGGAGCTACGCGGTACCCTAGGCTAGCCCAGGCTGAAGCCCTCTCCTCAGTCCTTCCTTCACCTGTGCCTGATGAGGCCTGAGCCCATCTTCCATCCCACCCGTGACTTAGGTATCTTGGTAAGGCTGCTCTGAGCTACATCGGGAGCTGGGATTTGAACGTCCTCTGTCACCAGAGCACTGAGCACAGGGGGACAGCCAGTGGAGGCCCGGAAACATGAAAACACCCCAATCTGCGCCACCCCCCACCCATCAGGCAACCTTGTCTCAGGCACTTCCGCAGCCCTGACAGGAAACCAGTCACAGACTCGGCCTCGCGCCATCTCAAGGCAACTTCTTGTTTCCCGGTTGCCCTGTGCCAGCCCAGAGTTGTGATCCTGGGCTCCACCCCCCAAAAACTTCCCAGGCTGTATCCCAGCAACTCAGAGGGGCCAGGATGGTGGACATGATTGCCAAACTGGCCAGGAGGCAGAGCCGGGCCCTGCGGGCACAGGTAAGGATAGAAGGAAGGAGTCGGGGACAGGCTCAGCCTCTGCCCGAGTAGCCGAGGGCCTTCTGGGTTCAGAGCTGTAGCAGGTCTGCACCGCACTGTTGGGAGCTGGTTGTAGCTCAGAGCGGTGTATGTCAGGTGATCTCAGCACTTTCCCTCTCAGAGGCCTTCCCTGTCCAAGGGAGCACAAAGAGATCTGAGACACCCAGCTTGGGGCAAGAGAGACAGGGCTTGCGCCACTGTGGACGAGGACGTGGGGCAGGGGGAGGGGGCGTCCGGGGTGGGGGACTAAAGGTAAGGAGTGCATAACCATAAAGAAGTGAAGGGGGATCTCTGTGGTGAGCGGTAAAGGTCTCTCTTGGCTCAGCCCTCTGACCAGAGGTGGGGGAGGCCTCTTCCTCTTCCCCGCCCAGCCCCTGTGTCTATACGGTACAACTTGATACTATTTTTAGACTGTGGCAGCATGTGGATCTCCAGAGTGGGGGCCAGCTTGGCAGGCCCCACTATCTCCCCCCCCCCCGCAAAAAAGGCACAGTGAAGAGCCTACACAGACCCAGGAGCAATGAGAGCCCAGCTGAACCCCGCCAGCGTAGGAAAGTCCCTTTAGCTCATCGCTGAGGGAGGGGGACCCATGAAGAGGTCCAGAGTCTGAGGGAACAGTGACAACTACAGCTCCATGACTGCAGCTTCTAAAAGGAGTGGTTCTGCCTGCTTCCCTCTATGGGGGTCCCTATCTTCCACCCCAAGCATTTAGTGTCTCTGGACAGTGCGTCTTCCTAAAGCTTCCTGTCCCCACCACATGTCTCTGCATCATCTCTTTCTTGTGATAGCCCTGTCACTGCAGGGACCTAACCCTCTCTCTCCTCAGCATCCCCCATACCTGCCGGTGTGTCCTCTAGTTGAGATCCCCTAGCTCCAATGGTCTGGCAAGTATAATCCCTCCTCCAAAGAGCCCAGCAGCACCTCAGTCTCTCCACACCAGCCATGGACCCTTCCGGCCACTGCCACCCCCACTGCCACCCATCCTGGAACAGCAAGGCCACAGTCCCAGTGTATCTAGGTGTGGGGCAGGAGGCATATCTGGCCTCTCTGCTCCCTCTCATCCTGGTGTCTGTCCTGTCCCAGTGACTCTTCTGGGCTCTGTGGCTCAAACTTTCATCCCCAGCAAATCCTTTCTCACACTCTGTGCTGTTTGTTTCCAACGTTCGCCACAGGACTGGCTTGCACATTAAAGCAGTGTTTGAATAGATCCGTTATATACTTCAGGGCATTGTCTCTCCTGAGGGGGGCAGTGGCATCTGCCACATCATCCTATGTGGTACTCACAAGAGATGCACCTTAGGGAAAGGGAGAGGGCTCCATGGGTAAAGCACTCGCTGTGTAAGCCTGAGACAGGGCTTGGATCCTTGGCACCCGCGTAAATGCCAGGTGGGCATGGTGGTCTGCCTATCATCCCAGCGCTGGGGAGGCAGAGACAGGGGATCGCTAAATCAGTGAGCTCTGGCTTCAAGTGAGAGACCTCACCTCAATATATAAGGTGGAGAGCCATCAAGGGAGACAGCCGCTGTCGACCTCAGACCATACACATGCACACGAATGTGCACCCACGTTCATACACACACACGTATGGCACTACACAAGGAAGGTGAGAGAAGGAAGGAAGGAAGGAAGGAAGGAAGGAAGGAAGGAAGGAAGGAAGGAAGGAAGGAAGGAAGGAAGGGGATCAGGTTGGTGGGCAACTCCCCAACCTCCAAGGCAGAATGCCTCTGGACCCTAACAAAGCAATGAGTGTCTTTATCCTCTCCACTGAGAGACGGTGGCCTGAGGCTCCCCAAGGAGCAAAGTCCGCTTGGGAAGGATGGGAGAGAAGGACAGGCAGGCCAAGGGGACAGTGTAAGGAGGAGGACAGTGAGGAAGTGGCTAGGGACTTCTTCTGGTGAGGTGGGCTAGCCTGGGGTAGCTGGAATACAGGAATACACATGAGGTTTGGGGTCAGGGAGAAAGGAGAAGTATGCAGAAGGCCCTGTCTCCACCACATGAGCCCGGAGGGGCAAAGGAGAAGAATCGGTGGCTCAGCCCAGCACCTGCATCCTGCGGGCTAGCCACCTTGTCAGAACCTGTGACCTCCCGTGTCTCACCATGCCTTTAATTTTTTATCCTATTTTATTTACTTATTGCATGCACACATAATCATGTCTGCCACTGCATATGTGGAAGTCAGAGGACAGCTTGGCAGAGTCAGTTCCCTCACTCCACTGAGCGGGTCCTAGGGTTCAAACTCAGGTGGTCAGGCTTGGCGGCAAGCGCCTTTAACTGCTGCGCCCTCTTGCTGGCCCCTACCTCTGCAGTCTTTCTCAGCAGCGACTGTCACTGAGAAGCTTCACTCACCGCACCCTACACCTGCCGTGTGTGCACGGGAGGCCAATTCTGCCCAGCAGGGACCTGCGTCCACTTGTTCTCTGCTGCATTCCCAGCGTCCGGCTCAGTTCCTGCCACATGGCAGAGCAGAGAGATCTTAGGAGTAAGATGCGTGACGTGGGGGGGGGGTAATATTTACTTAGTTTCCTGTGTGTGAGTACAAACACTCATGTATGTGCATGCATCTCATGTGTGCCTGGTGCCCAAAGAGATCAGAAGAGGGCATCGGATCCCCTGGAATTGGAGTTCGGGAGTTGTGAGCCACCATGTCGGGGCTGGGAACTGATCTCAGGTCCTCTGCAAGAGCAGCAAATGTTCTTAACACACGGAGCCATCTCTCCAGTCCCAAATGTGTGCTTTTTGTCTTCCTTCCTAAAACCCAGGGAGAAGCCGTGTTGAGTAGGCCATGCTTCCCCTTACACGCGTGTCCTGGCCATCAAAGGAGGAACATTTGTGATGAGTTTATCTTAGTACATTTACCGTGTCTGTGTGAGTGTGTCCCAGCGCACATGTGGAAGACAGAAAGCAACCTGTGCTAATCAGTGCTTGCCTTTCAGTGTGTGGGTCCGGAGGATCAAACTCAGGTCACCGTGCTGGCTCACTGACCATCTTGTCGAACCATTTTGTGTTTTCCTTTAAAACAAAAACAAAAACAAAACAAAACAAAAAACAAAAACTACTTTTACAAAAACTGGAATCTAAAAAAAAAAAAAAAAGTAATCTCCAAACCTTTTGAAGGAAAAAGAACTGGCATGGAGCCCCACAGACCAGCGCTTATTTGCCTTCTGCACTTAAGGCTTGGGGTTCAGTTACCCAGCACCACCACCCCCAAAAAAACCTAAGCCTTATAATTAAACTAGCCAGATAGGCCATCGTCAGCATTTTGTTCTATTTGGGTCTTTTTGAGACAGGGTCTCACGTACCCCAACCGGCCTTCAGACCCCACGTGTAGATGAGGATAGCCTTGAACTTGTGGAGTTCTGCCTCTGTCATCTGAGTGCTAGAATTACAGGCATGTGCTACCGCACCTGGTTGTATGCAGTGCTGGGCATCAGACCCAGGGTTTCCTGCATGCTTTGTGAGCTCCACCTCTTCCCCCCCCCACAGTCCACCATAATAGCTTTTTGAGGTGTACTGTTTGCTGGGAGCACTGTGTATTCTTAGAAAACTGTTAGCCAGGTGCATTCCTGCTGCCTTGGGTTTGATAGTGAGGCTGTCAGTCTCTCTGGGGGGGGGGGGTTGGCATTGTTGGTCAGAAGAGATCTGGGGAGATTTGGAGACAGATCTGAAACCTGACATTCTCAAGAGCTGAGACCTGAAGAACGTGGGGTGAGCTGAGTGGAACTGAACATAGACAGGCTGCAAAGGGGTTGAGTGCAATGGGCCCCAGAAGTTCCAGCAGAGGGGTGGGGCCCTGCAACTAGAGCTTAAAGTTCAAGGCCAGGGGTAAGCAAGGAGTGGCAGGAAACAGAGCCCAAGCCCCGGCAGGTGATGGGTGGCCTCTGCAGGCCTCAGACTTTGCCCTTCTGCCCAGGAGGAGGCAGAGAGTGTGACTCACCCCAGCCTCTCCTCTGTGCCTAGCCAGATGAAACCCCAGATGGCTCGCTCCTTTGGGGGGGGAGAGGCCTCTCCCTTCTTTGACCCTTTATTCTCCAGCCCAACTCGGTCCCTCTCTCTCCCCTCTCCCCTCTCCCCTCCTCTCTCTCTCTCTCTCTCTCTCTCTCTCTCTCTCTCTCTCTCTCTCTCTCTCTCTCTCCC